GTATTTTGTCGTGTTGTTCCCATGTAAATGTCTACTGCCAAGACATTAGAAACAGACCTTTTCTTTTAGCCTTATAATTTGATGTTGCCGCCATGTTGCTCTTTCTACGATGTACTGGTTGTTACCAGGTTGCAAAAAAATAGCATGGTCAAATCAATCAGATAAGAGTAACCGGAAAGCAATATGTTGTTTAAGACATTGCAGAGAAGGTAGCATTTAAAGACTTAAAAGCACAAACTTAAAATGCACGCAATTGACAAATAGTCACAGACAAATTAAATGTTAGTGACAAGGCAGCACAGTCCCATTCGGGCCAGTAATGATCAGGTCTACTGTCCCAAGTGTCTCTCATGCTGGCCCTTGGCAACCGGGCAGTCTTTATTGTTGAGCCCTGCCAACTACTCGAGTATACTACATTTATATTTAAATTACTATACAGCACAATTGGAAAAGTACATTTTAGTAGGGCTGGGTGATATTAGAAAAAACTTATTACAATAAAATATTTCACATAATTCGATATCTATAATTATTGAATATTTTTTAACAACACATGTAGGAATATATTTACCAACATTACTAAGGCAAATAGTTTTAATAGTCGAAAACAAAAACATTTAAACGAAATATCTGATCTCTTTATAATAAAATAAACAGAATTGTTGAAGAGACTCTTAAACTTTATTCGTTCATTTTCTTTTTCGGCTTAGTCCTTTTATTAATCTGGGGTTGCCACAGCGGAATGAACCCACTTATGCCGAGACTCCGGGATTTTCAAAGTAGTCATGTCACAAATATTTTAACGGATCCGCAGCTCAATTCAGATCCGAATTCTCCGCATTCGGAGATGATTGGAACTCCACGCAGCTCCCGGACTGCTCTCCATTGGAAATGAATGACTTCCGGACTGTCGCTTGTCGTGTGCAGTGGAAAGGCGGCTTAAGTGCTAATTGTACTTTAAAATTACACTTTTCAAAATCATAAAATAGAATAATACCAAAATAAACAGACAAAATAATGTTTATATAAATTTAATAAACCACTCTCAATACAGTCAACAACTCACATACAGTGGTGAACCAGATTAGCCACAATTTCCTCATTTTGAAAGTCTGACTTCAAAGCCTTTGTAAATCAACCAATACACCAGCCAGATGATTAATAATGCAATACAGTGCATAGAATGATCCCTATGTAAAGACCAGACCAAATCAAACCTGCCTCTGTTTGTAAATGCTCTGAACTGCTGTATTAGAGCATCTCCACATCAGCATAAACACACTGCAGGATTCAACCAAGTTTCCATATTCAATTCCAGATGCCACTACCTGCATGCTGATTGGCTAAGAAATCCACCTTACCATAAAGTTCACTCCTTAAAGGTTTCATGCAAGCAGAAAAGCCTCAAATTAATCAACAAAGAAAGCCCAAGACACTGAAGACGTGAGTCAGAAACACAATGCAATCAAGACGACGCATGAATTATTGAGACATGTGCCGCTACAGTCGGTCGGCTACGCTGGTGTTGGGTTACCACGGCAACTCCATGACGGACCGCATGCCATTACTGATGATCACTTAAAGAGTACCTCGTCTGAGCAGTTGGGTTTAATGATGACTTACATGAGGTATGCTTTAATAGAAACACTTCTGAGGAGGCAAAACTGCTGCTGATGATGATAATGATGTGTGTGCAAGCATTTGTGTGGGTGGTTTGGTTTCAGAAATGAGGCCGAAAAAGAGAGAGACCTCGGTGACCAAAAGCAGAAGTTGCTTCTGTATAAGGTCTTAATGATTCTGTCCTATAGAGCAAAACACAGGCCACAATCTGGTGCACATGAATTTGCATTTGTCCCCCCTGCACCTCCAAGATGGGTTCCATCCCACCTGTGAGTCCACAACACCTGTAATGTCAAACACACAAACTCTCCCTGGAGACTAGAAGGGGACGAAAACAAAGGAGGAAAACTCTAGACAGATGGTTCTTGATGGCTGATTGTGTTGTGTATTAATGGTTGGAATAATAGTCTCAAATCTAAATGGGATATGCGTTTATGTTGAGCATTAAATAGATGCAGTGCTCAGCATATATAAGCACACAAAGCTCTCATTTAAATGAATAGGAAGCTTTACAATATTCTATTTGTGCATATACATTAGATTAGTCAATACTAAAGCAAAATCTGGAGATAATCTGACAAAATGAATTTTGATGATGGTCCAAATTTACATTTTAGGGAAAAAATAAATAATAAATAAATAAAGAGCAAAATTCAAGATAAATAAAATTTTTGTACAATTTTATTTGAAATGTTGTAGTTTGTATTTTCCCCCCATGAATTTAAATGCACACTCTTTTTATTTCCATCTTTAAAGATGTTTGCCGACTAAAATATTATTTTAATAGATATATATATTCGCTCAATAAATTCGTTTTGTTAATGCACCAAAATGCATTACCTATATTCACTGATAAATTGATAAAAATATTAATATTTATAAAAATATTAATAAAAAAATATTATTTTTTTTCAAAATGGGATGTACTTAGTTATGTTGAGCACTGTACATGTGGATATATAATTGATGTGGTAAGTACACGAGAACATGAAAGGAAAAAACACCTCAGATTTATTTAGAAATAATATTTTTAGCTATCATTTATAGATATAATATATCATTATAAATAGACATAATAAATAATATATTTATTAGTTATTAAATATTATTAATCTTAATTATTATTATTTATTTAAATTAAATGGTAAATGTGCAGTTTGGTGAAGATGCTAATATTTGTTTTTGTATGAAGCAAGGTAAATTTAGATATATTGTAATGTAAACAAATGAGCTTCATAACAGCACTGCAGAATAATGACATAAAATTCACATAAATTTTAATTGTCACTCTCTATAAATATTAATATATGCTTTCTAAATACAATGTGTATCAATTTCGGCAGCCTGATTTCACGAGAAAACGTAAGTATTTTACATTTTGACAGTTTAGTGGCTAATTCAGTTCAGTCGTACGAAATCGTACGATTTTAAAAAGGAGGCGTGGCACCTAACTCCACACCTAAACCCAACCGTCATTGGGGGATGAGCAAATCGTACTAAATTGTAGGAATTAGATCGTACAAATTCATACGAATTAGCCACTAAATTAAAAAGTTACGAATTGCTGTGAGATTGTGTTGGATTAACACACTACTCATTGTTTTAGGGGACAAACAATTGATGCAATACAATTATTTTAATAAAATAAAAGTTAATAAAAAGTATCATGATCATATATATGATATATATATATGTATGTATATATATATTCTCCGATCAGGATTTTTGCAGCTGATACAGAGTACCGATTCCATGTCATGGTCATCGGCTGATACTGAGTATGCATATAGCACATTTTCCCCTCCAAGTATGATAAGATCTCGCCTTACTTAAGAAAAAAAATAAAGGATGTTGCATATAATCCCATAAACATGTCTCTTATAACCATTTAGTAAGGAAATGTCATGGTCAGAAGGAGCTTTACAGAAATAAAATAGATAAAAGTGACCAAAAAATGGTAAGAAAAATTATTGACAATTTAGAAACATTGCAAATGATGGAAGAAGAACTCAACAAGTCTCACTGAAGAAAAGTTTGCAGTGCATATTTGATGCATAAGATGTTTTGAATATATATTGCTTTTTTAAATAAATATATTGCTTCTTTACTAAAAGGAAATAGGAAGGCAAGATAAAGTACCGTTTATTGCAATAAGTATAATCCAAAAGTTCTATTGTTAAATATTCAAGTTAACATTTGGGTGACAAAAGCTCAAAAACTGAATATAAATGGTTGCAACATAGAGACCATCACATTAATTTCACATAACATAAATCAAAAATGCACAGCAAAAAGACTTGCAAACCGAAGCCTAAAGGTGGACACTTTTACAATTATACTAAAATCTCTTTCATTAACTAAAAAAACGAAAGAAAGATTTAAATTAAGGAAAAGATTGCAGAAAGCATGTTGTATGTTGTGAGCAACAGGTTAAGAATGCAGTGAAGCATTAGAAATCACGTTTCAGATATGACAGTAGGCTTTACAGTAGGATTAAGTCATTTACAAAGTGATGTTTTTACAGAATGTCCACCGAATCAACAGTTCTGGTGCATTATGGTGTTCAGACTTCAGAAGACCAATGCTTGCACGTTTGGCTCAATGTTGCTGAACAAAATAAAAAATAAAACAGGCTGTCAGGGATCTAATTCCCTCAGCTGACCGGAGCTGCAAACACACACACACACACACACACACACACACACACACACACACACACACACACACACACACACACACACACACACACATCACTGATCAAAACAGGGCCGGCCTACATCCATCTATCTATCCCAGCAGCCCAAACATACACACATCATCCTTTAATAACCCTAAACATCAGCATTCAGCCTTATTCTAATCTACACACACATTGTAAAGTTCAATATTCATTTTAGACATGAACAGTTTCTGTAACAGCAGATTTCTCACCAGCTAAGAGATCCATGATAAATGAATAACATGATAAATAGAAACCAAGCAGAATTAAGCTCCATTCGTTATAATATAACAATAAACCCATAACATTATACACGTTAATGCGGTCAGATTTAATTAATAGTAGATTAAAGGCTTGTTTTGAATAGACTGAACACAGAACTGGAACAGAAATCGAATCAGAAACTCAATGATAATCACAAAAGCTTATGAACAAAAAAACAAATACTTAATAATGACATATTTACATACACCAGACTGTCGAATAACAGGTTTAGTCTTTTAAAGTGAATATGTTAGAATTAATTTACTCTGTTTGATATAAACGTAATCGACATGATGACAAGAATCTATCGACTTTAACGTTAACGTTACCTGTGAAACACACACAAAAACCTGTACACCGAAATACAATAATAAAAGCATCACTTATGTGGCATTACCTGAAACGGGTTGCTAAAGTCGGGGTCCGCGAAGGGATTGCTGTCAAAATCTGACATTTTGCCGGTTTATTTTGTCTGCTTTGTTAGGCTATGTTGTCGGTTTTCGGCAAGAAACGCACCAGCAGCTCGAGACTGATCCGCAACCGCAAAATGGCAGAACCGGAAATGACGTCATGCGTCAACTGCACGTCTTGAAATGATGAAGTGTTCTGCATTGTTATTTATGACCTTTTAAATGACCATTTTATTGCACTATTGATCGATTCAATTTATTTTAAATAAATTCAATTATATTAAATAGTTAAAGTTACCTAATTATAATATTTATATTTGACGATTAAAAATATATCTAAATATACCTCATCATATGGGCCTACCTTTACTATTTATTTATTCCCGTTATATCCTTATTTAATTTTTCAATTCTTTGTTTTGACAAAAGTGCAGAACAGGAGACGTCAAATATGTGAACATTGCAGCCACCTGGAGTCCATAAAGGATCATTACAACTAAGCAGAATATTTATCCATTTATATTTTTAAAAATCCTGATAATAAACAATGCTTCGCTTTTGGGGCTGATTTTCAATATTTAAAACAGCTTTTCATTCATGCATTTGAATACATTAATATTTAGATATCCTTTTTTTTTTTTGGTCTTTGTTTAATTAAAAAAACATCAAAATATCCACTACAAGTAATGGCCTATTATAGAGGACGAAATCTGCAAAAACAGTAAATAATAAATAAATATATAAACAAATAAATGAATAAACAAATCTACAAAATCCTGCATAAATAAAACAATAAATGCACAAATAAATACGCAAATAAATTAAGACTACAAATCTACAAATTCCTGCTTAGAAATTCTTGCAAGAGTTTGTGAATTTATTAATTAATTTATTTATTTATTTGCATATTTGTTTATTGTTTTATTGATGCAGGAATTTGTGGATTTTTTATTTATCTATTTGCATATTTATTTATTATTTTATTGATGCAAAAATTTGTGCATTTATTAATGTATTTATTTGAATACAATTTATTATTTTATTGATGCAGCAATTTGTGGATTTATTAATTTATTTATTTGCATATTTATTTATTGATTTATTGATGCAGGAATTTGTGGATTTATTAATTTATTTATTTGCATATTTATTTATTATTTTATTGATGCAGCAATTTGTGGATTTATTAATTTATTCATTTTGATACTTATTTATTAATTTATTGATGCAGGAATTTGTGGATTTATTAACCTTTTTTTGCATATTTATTTATTATTTTATTGATACAGGACCTTGTGGATTTATTTTTTAAAAATTGCATAATTATTTATTGGTTTATCGAGGCAGCAATTTGTGGATTTATTAATTTATTCATTTTGATACTTATTTATTGATTATTGATGCAGGAATTTGTGGATTTATTAATTTATTTATTTGCATATTTATTTATTTATTTATTGATGGAGGAATTTTTTTATTTTTTTTATTTATTTATTTGCATATTTATTTATTATTTTATTATTTTGGCAGGTTTCGTCCTCCATAGCTTAAGACTACAAAATAAGATATTCTCCAGATCTTTGCTGTTATATAAATTTGGAATAAAAAATATTAAGGTATTATAATAACATATTATCATTGCATTGTTTTTTGTTACCTAGCCTCTCTACTTAAAAAATTCACCTTATTCAATACATTCTTTATAATTTCTTCATATTTAAATTGAAAATGTAAACTGTATATAAGAGCATGAACAAACTAATCATGTGTAAATTAAGTAAGAAACATATAAATCATTAGCTTTTAATATTTGTTTATTTGTTTGTCTGTTTGTTTGTTGGTGCTAACCTAATAAATGCAAAGACAGAAATATGACTATATCTCTAATAAAAATTACATAAAAATTTACATCATCCACTAAACAAACATGAGTTTATGTACATAAAAAAATAATCACATTAAGGTTATTACATGATTAAATGTTCATAACGCGTAACAATTTACCCCAAAATGAAAGTTTTGTCATCATTTACCCACCCTTGTAAAAATTTTTTATATTTATTTTTATTTTGTTTAATTTAAAACAGAACAAAATATTTTAAAGGATGTTGAACTATGAAAGTCAATGGTGTTAAAATACTCCTCAAAATATTTTCTTTGTGTTCAACAGAAAAATAAAAACTCAACCCATTTTAGACCAAGTCAATGGTGTGTAAATGACATGGGTAAATGATGACAGAATTTTGATTTTGTATGAACTACCCCTTTAAATTCAACTCAAAGTGGACTTATTCACCCTTTTTGTTCATGGATAAAAAATGCATATAATATAATATAATATAATATAATATAATATAATATAATATAATATAATATAATATAATATAATATAATATAATATAATATAATATAATATAATATAATATAATAAAATAAAATGTAATGTAATGTAATGTAATATAATAAAATAAAATAAAAAGTAATGTAATGTTATATAATAAAATAAAATAAAATAAAATAAAATAAAATAAAATGTAATGTAATATAATATAATATAATATAATATAATATAATATAATATAATATAATATAATATAATATAATAAAATAAAATAAAATAAAATGTAATGTAATGTAATGTAATATGATAAAATAAAATAAAATAAAATAAAATAAAATAAAATAAAATGTAATGTAATGTAATGTAATATAATATAATATAATATAATATAATATAATATAATATAATATAATATAATATAATATAATATAATACAATACAATACAATGTAATGTAATATAATATAATATAATATAATATAATATAATATAATATAATATAATATAATATTTAATAAAGGTTTGTATTTTTGGATTTCATAGAATTAAATATGAGATAACTTTTCCTATTATTTTAAAGCTTGACCTCAGAATGAAATGTTTATGAAAGTGATTTCTACAAGTCTAAAAAAAAAAATAGAAAAGCAATTAAAACGGTTAATATATGGTCCTCCTTTAACATTTTTGCATAAAATGTTTGTATACGTGTATATTCTGTACTAAAACTGAATTCAATAACTTTTGTAAATAACTAAATATGAAAAAATCTATATTTGTATAACATAGTTGTGTGTGAATTGATAGTTATGTAGGACCAGATACATTCTTATTAAGGAATATGAAGGCATGTTGTTGTAAAATTAAACCAGAGGTGCCAAAGTAGGGCCCACAGGCCAAAGTTGGCCCATGCTAACCTCTGGTTTGGCCCGCCATCCCATCTGAAAAGAAAGGGAGAATGATGGGGAGTTGGTAGGGAGCGAATGCCCCTAAAAGAGATTGTCATTTCGAATTTAACGTAACCATTTGTTTCTTTGTTTAATTGAAGAGCTACAAAAAAAATCAACTAAAATTAGATGTCTCATTTGTTGTAAATGAATTAGACTTTTATAATTTAAATGCTGTCACTTGATAGAGGACAATGCACAAGACATCAGCAAGGCAATAAAGCAGCTCGACTAGTGTATATTCAGCATTGAACTCCATTGTGTTATAAATTGTTTATGTTTTATTATAATAGTTTATTATAAAATGATTCTATATAATTAATGAATATGTTTTAAAGCAACATATTTTAGTTATTTTTAAATATTAGTAAATACATTTGGAAATTAGCCATGGCAAATTTAATGCAATACGATTTATTTATTTAGCTTTTTTTTATTTATTCAATTTTTTATTAAAGAATGCAAATATATAACCACAATCAGGAGATCGATATATGAGACATACAAAGGAGAAAAAATAAAAACTACATCAGCTGCAGAAAGAAAAAAGATTAACAATACAAAGGAAGAGGTAAGTAAATTACATTTGTATAAAAGTATATGAAAATAAATAAATTAAGAGCATTAGAAAAGCGTTCTAACTCAAATCAGAGTCAGTAGACAACAGTTCTTCATAAAGAACTCGGAATCTGACACATCTTTTGTTTTTACACATACGGAAAGATTTGAGCAGTGAGTCAACTTCAATCAGAAAATGTCGAAAAGTGGGGACTGAAGCCATGCATTTTTGCTTATGTATAAAAAAATTCCAAACAAGATAAAGACATTAAAGACAACTTCTTTATATGCGTGTGAAGATTCTGAGTAATAACAAATACTTTCTTTTAAACTAAAAGATTGTGCAAAGGTAGGAGGAGTGTTTAAATAATGACAGAGGTCAAACCAAAACTTCTGAACAAATTCACACATACAAAATAAATGTATTAAAGTTTCCTCATCCTTACCACAAAATGTACAACTACTCAGAATATCAACATATTTGGAAACGAATAAGTCAGCCGGATATATTTTGTGCAATATTTTAAAGTGGATTTCTTTAGCTTTATTAGAAAGGAAGTACTTATGAGGCAAAACCCAAGCTTTTCTCCAATCTATATTATTAATTAATGCAGCCCAATGAAATTTGCCTCGAGGAACAATACCTTTTCTTTGCTGAAGAATTAAATGAACATGCTTATTATTGCATTTCTTATCATGAATGTCAATGCCTTCCAGCACTTAATGTAATACGATTTTTTTTAATGCATTAGTAATTTACAAATACAGCAAAAACAGGCAACAAATAAAAATTCCAAAGATAATTAAAATTCAAAAAAAAAAACAAAAAAAAAAAAAAAACAAACAAAAGGAAGACATTCACTAGACGCCAAAAACAGATTCATAATAGCTTACAATAGACAGAGCTTTTACATTTTTTTTACAGCTTTGAGAGACTTCATTAACAGAATAATTTCGTTGACAAATATCTTGTATAAAGGAGAAGATTTTGAAAGTCGACATTTGTGGATGAAGAATTTACCATTTAAAATGATAAAATTAACAAAATTATAAAAAATAACAAATAATTTCTTTTGTATTCAATGCTATCAACATATTATTTTTAGCAGAATAATCAAAAAAACAGTCTTTCCAAAATAATTGCACACTCTTAACTTCGGCCCACTGACGTCATAGCGTGGAACTCTTCACCGCGCGTGTTTACTCCGTACGGACCCTTTTCTTTTGGCTCCGTTTACGGAAGTGGGTCGTCATTATTTACTAAACGGGACCAGTACGATATCGATCATCTGTAGATTAGATTATTTCGTGTTAGTTTGTGTCGGACAGCAGAATGCGCTCGGCCTGGCTGCTGTCGGCCGGCTGTGTGCTGTGGGTCTGCTCTCTGACAGCCGCTATTGAGCCCATCAGCACCAGTATAGCGGTCGGGATGGCAGCGGCTCTGACGGGCTTTCTGGCCGGATATCAGAACATGTTTTATTACTTCAATGAGTGCTGCAGACCCGAGTGGATCTCTTACAACAAAACAGGTGCGTCAGGCCTTTGTTTTTTTTATTTGAACGGTAATATTAAAATTGCTAATACATTTAATCATTTAGAAAACGCTTTTTTTTGAGGAATTGAGTCTTCATGTTTATTACAATTTATTCTTATTTTAATACATATAACTGTAATAAAACGGTTTTGTTAATGCATCAAATATTATAGGCTATTCTCATTGAGAAATTGATAAAAAGTGTATTATTGTAAAGATATGTGTATTCAATTATGCTAATAACTTTATAATTTAATTTAACATGTCGATTTCTAAGTCTTTTATCTTTAGTTCTATATCACTTTTACAATGTAGATTGTGTCAAAGCAGCTGAACATAGAAGTTCTAGTAAATTAAAACAGTTTCAGTTCAGTTTTTAGAGTTTAAAGTTTAGTTCAGTTCAGTGTGGTTTAATAATCACTACTGAGAGTGCAAACACTGAACAGCAAATCCATCGATGCACAGCTCTACAGCTGAGGAAAAAACTTCACCAATTGACAAAAGTGAAGGATAAAAAAACCTTGAGAGAAACCAGACTCAGTTGAGCACGACCATTTCTCCTCAAGCCAAACTTCTTGTGCAGAGCTGCAGCCTGGGCAGTAGAGTAGGTCACCGGCGAGTGTTCAGGCTGGCCCATGGCATCAATGCGGAGACTCGTCTGTAACTGGGGTCGTTCAGAAATCAGTCTTACGCTCTCCACTCGTCCTCGACCACCACAGCATCTGCTCAGGATATGGCCCGGTCCAGGATTATGCAGACCTTGGGATAATGAAAAACAGACTAAGAAAAGCATAGATGCCATTCGAATTATAATGTCTTTTAGGAAGTGTTCTCGGCTCCGGTTGCCCTAATTAATGCAGACTAACAATCCTTTAGAGTATTTATATTTCAAAATCTTTAGCTTTTTGTGTATGCTAATGCAACAAGATGAATAATGTGCACATTCCATTTTAAAAGCACACACAAAAAAAACTATTTTTCATAGGTTTATGTGAACATACAGACTCAGTAATGATTCTAAATTTTACATAAATTAGCATATTTTATTGCACATATTTTCACAGTAATATTTTTCATATTATTTATATTTTTAATGTTTCTCTAAGATTTTCCTATTTTTAAATATAATCTTATTTTAATGGATATAACTATAATAAAACGTTTTTTTTTTAAATGCATGAAATATTATTGGCTGTACTCACTGAGAAATTGATCAAAAATGTATTATTGCTATGCTAAATTATGTGTTTTATATTATGATGATGATATATGCAATACCCAATTTCTAAGTCACACACACACACACACACACACACACACACACACACACACACACACACACACACACACACACACACACACAGTTCAGACAGGTCTATGTAAACGTGCAAACTTTGAAATTATTTTAAACATTACATCTTTCAGTATAATTTATTACACATATTTTTACAACAAGTGTTTTTTATTATTTATATATTTTTACTGTTTATCTTGATTTTTAAAATGTTTATTTAAATTTATTTTTATGTATATACTTGTTTATTAAATGGTTTGGTCTAAATGCATTAATATTATTGGCTAAACTCGCTGAGAAATTTATTTTAAAAAATGATTATTGCAAAAATATGTGTATTATTTTATGCTGATATGCAATACCTAATTTCTAAGTCTGCATGTTCACATCTACAGTTTAAAAGCACACACACACACACACACACACACACACACACAAATACATAGACAGGTCTATGTAAACGTGCAGACTTAGAAATTATTTTTTTTGCCGAAACGTCTGTTTGTCTGTTATCACCCGTAAAATGTAAGAAAAAGTGAAAATAAAAAACGTACGAAGTAACTGAGTGCAAATCATTACCTTCTATTGAATAATAGTAACGATCAGATTAACGCACCAAACCAAAGAAGTAACTAAAAAAAAACGCAAGCGCGCAGGACAAACTTCAGTAACAAATATTACATATAGCCACATAATTTAATACACATATTTTTGCGTTCATTATCATTATTTATATATATATATATATATTTTTTGTGTTTCTTTTTCATGGTTATTAAAATGTATTCTTATTTTAAATATCGTTGTAAAAATATGTGTGTTAAATTTTGTGGATATATTTAATACTTGTTTTCTAAGTCTGCACGTTCACATATACATTTTAAAAACACACACAAAATACATTTTCTATAGACAGCATGGTCCCGTTTGACCCGTGTTTGTTGTATTTTCGTTTTATAATGATCCGTGCAGTTATAAATGTTTTTAATTTATTCATTTTTTTAAACAATAGAGCAAAATGTTATGCATGGATTTTAATAGTCATTTATTAAACACGCATAAATAATTATTATTGTTTTAAATGTATTATCTTTCTGTTGCTAAAGATGACAAAACTCTTATTTTTGATGGATATAACTGTTTATTAAAACATATATTATTGTCTATATTCACTGAGAAATGCATACAAGTTCTGTATCATTGTAAAAATATGCATTCATTCATGCTAATGTGTGTAATACCCAATTTCTAAGTCTGCATGTTCACATATACATTATAAAAACACACACAAAACACATTTTCCCTATACAGCATGGCCCTGTTTGACCCATGTGACCAACTTTTCGCGCATGCGCGTTGCGCTTATTCCAAGCAGGAAGTGGCGGCTGTGAGTTGGAGCTTGGTTGAAGCCCGCGTTGTTTTTGTTTTTTTTCCACCCTGTTTCCGACTAAAATATCGATGATTTATGTAGTAAAATGAACGCTCGGCCTCCTCGCGCATGGACGACGTTATTTCTCTGTATTTTGATCTCCGGGCTGGTCGTGGAGGCCATCGAGCCCGTGACAACCTCACTGCTGGTGGTGGGAACAGGAACAGCGATGCTCGGCAGGAAAATCTACCGCTATATTTATGAAAACTGCCACGAAAACTGGGTCAACTTTAACGCCACAGGTATACAGCAGGGGAAAATAAGTGTTGTTGTTTGACTTAGGTGTGTTTGTGGGCATTATATCCCGCAGAATTCCCATCTAAAATGCCATATTTTGTATTTCCTTAATTGGGTTTCTATTCACTGCTGTTATTAATGGTTTTGGGCATCTAACAATTGAAATTGTTAAGGTATATATATATTAATTTTTAGTTAATGCAGCCAGATGTTGTTTACTTTCAAAATTGTTGTTTGGTATGCTTTCGTTTTATAATGATCTGCTCAACTTTAAATGTTTTTAATTTATTCTTAAGCAGTAGAGTGGTCGTTTATTACACGGAACCAAGTAATTGTTATTGTTTTAAAATGGTTATATTTTATTTATAAAGTCGCTTTGTGTGATATATCTGCTTCATGAGCACTTATGCTTCTATTTATTTGTTAAAATAATTGTATTATTCTTTATTATTATTGCTTTTAAAGAACGATGATACAGCAAAATGTTATTGTATATATGTTATTGTATATATGTTTTATATCTCGCATATATGATTCTAATAATTACTTTATAATTTATATATATATTTATATATATATATATATATATATATATATATATATATATATATATATATATATATATATTTATATATATTTATTTATTTATTTATTTATTTATATATATATATATATATATATTTATTTATATATATATATATATATATATATATATATATATATATATATATATATATATAGATTAAATTAATTGATTTCCTCAACATTCTACACACAATCCTTTATGTTGATTGACAATGTGTTTTTGAAAATGTAAGTTTTTTTGGGAAGTGACAGTGTACAGCCATTTTCAGATCTCTTCAGAGATGTTCAATAGGATTTAGGTCTGGGCTCTGGCTGGGCCACTCAAGGACATTCACAGAGTTGTTGTGAAGCCACTGCACTGATATTTTGGCCGTGTGCTTTGGATCATTGTCCTGCTGTAAGATGGACCATCAACCCAGTCAGGTTTTGATTCAGGATGTCTAACACTGCTGCATTCATCTTTCCCTCTATCCTGACTAGTCCTCCAGTTCCTGCTGCTGGAAAACATCCCCACAGCATGATGCTGCCACCCCAATGCTTCACTGTAGGGGTGGTATTAGCCATCTGAAGGACTCTCAGATCATAAGAAGCAAAATTCTCTGGTCTGATGAGACTAAAATTGAACTCTTTGGAGTGAATGCCAGGCGATACGTTTGGAGACAACCAGGCAGCGCTCATCACCAGGCTAATACCATCCCTACTGTAAAACATGATGGTGGCAGCCATGTTTCTTTAGTTATAAAGCATGTGTTTAATTTAAGTATGTGCTCCTTCCCGCAGGCCTGAAGTATGACCTGGACACAAAGCTTTATGGGCAGCACGTCGCAGGTCAAGTCATCCTGAAAGCCGTCACGGGCTTCATGAACAACAAAAAACCAAAGAAACCGCTGGTTCTGTCCCTGCACGGCTGGACCGGCACCGGGAAGAACTTTGTGAGCCAACTATTGGCTGAAAACATTTACGTGAAAGGCATGGAGAGCAGCTTCGTCCATCTGTTTACAGCAACAGCACACTTTCCTCATGAGATCCACATAGACACCTACAAGGTAAGCTGACTTCATATAAAAGACTATTGACCTTATTCTGTGATGCGGAAGTGCACTTGTTTTTGCGATTTGTTTAAGAACTTTTGATTCAGCTGCCTATGGGAGAAATGTCTAGGAATAATTAACGGCAGAAAATGGTCAAACTGCTTCCTTTACAAACAAGCGTGTTCATAACTTTACAGACAAAGCAGAATAATATAATAAGAAAATTTCAGTTTGCAACATCAAGCAGCGAAACAAGCAGTTTTTAAAGGGCCATGAAACCCCCTCGTTTCAGCAGGGTGTTTTCACACCTCTACTTTGGAAAAAGTCAGAAAAGTGGGCGTGTCCAGCTCTGTTTAGGGGGGAGTGTCGGAGGAACTAAAGTGGGATGGTGTGGGAGTGTCTATTTGGGCACGCGCGAGTTTCAGTCAAAATACACACACACGAGAAAGTGATGGTGTTTAACCTACATGGACATCTGTAGTCAAATTATTTGCCAGATTATTAAATGTTGGACTTTAACTGCAGTTTGGCTCTTTCATTCAGGGAATTCATTCATGCCCCTCGCGACAAACGCGATATTTGATTCGAGGATCTGCTCTAAGCGTGTATTTTTCATGCAATGTTTGATACCGCACGGCGAATGAGAGAAAAAAAAGCTCCGCAATTCCCGGAAACTTAGATGCACACGGCAGGTAGCGTCAGAAAGCCGCGTGTGTTATTCCGGTCACAAAATGCGGTGCTAACAAATTTGCACTCAGTGCAATAGTTAACTTAATTCGATACGAACAAACTGAATAAACATAGAGCACTGGTCGCTCACTTACCAAATCTGTAGAGACAGGACAATCACCAGCAACTAGAGCCGCGTCTTTATTAAGAAGAGACTAAAGCGAATCCGGATCTCAGCGTTTGCAGATGAGAACAGCTCTCAGGTAAACAATAATCCTCGTTAGACACGTAAGTTATTGTTGTCGAGCGTCGCGTACACTGTTAATCCACACGTGAGTCTGAGCTCTCACGGAGAAAAAAGGAAAACGAAACTTAACAGCAGCAAACTATAAAAGCAACACTCCAAGCTTGTTTTGCCAACACAACGTGGCGTCTCTGGTGTAAACAGTGACACTAATGAATATTAATGAAGTTGCAAAATAGTGCGCGCTGATTGGTTTGAACCAAGCCTTACTCATTCATTAATGCATCACACTGTAAGACGTAATAAGACACACTCAGGCACAGACGTCCAGTCTGCACGCTGGAATACACGCTATTATGTCATGACCGTGACGCAGCTTCAAAAATTCGTTTCAAACAGGAAGTACGAATTTGCTTGAAATAACGCAAAAACAACCAATTTACACTTTTTAGTGAAATATAGGTGTCCTAATAGTGTTTTTAGCAGTGTGGGACACATATACGACTGTCAACAGCTCAAAAAATGTGTTTTGGTGTTTCGTGACCCTTTAACATCTAAAATGAATGGAAGTGAATGGGACTGGAAATGTCAAGCCAAAAAGATTCAATCGGCTGTGCCTGCTCATACAAAGAATAAGGTCAATAGAATACACAAGACATGTCACTCGTATAGTTGTGAATGAGTACAATGGTGCATTAAGCCCCGCCTTCTTGTATAGGAGCCAATCATCAATTGCTATAAACTGATGATTCATCAGAGGAGGGGCTTGGACTACACTTGTGTTTATACGACAGCACAGTGGAGATTTCTTTAGTCATATCGTTTAAGTCGTTTGATATGCGGCGACATCCATTCAAATATTTGCAAAACAGATCCGCCACTTTTGACAATCACAAACAATCATAAAGCCCCCGTGCTGCAGGAATGAGGAGGTCTGCTGAAGGTGCAGCTGTCGTGCTGTGAGGGGTTTGCGTCTTAAAAAACTACGGCAGTTTGCGTTCACTGAACAGTAAGAATTATTTATAAATCCACATGAAACAGTACCTTAAAAGTCACGTCTCGCTTTCAGTTTTGGGCTTAGGCACGTTTTGCACTCACACACAAGCGTACCGCTCCAAATCCAAAGTGAATTGTGCCTGAGCCTGATTCAGCACGCACACACAATTCTCAAAAGATCCGGAACATGGGCCTGGGCACGGTTCGGAAAGCATAGTGTGAGTGCTCTCATTGGCTGGAGTAGACGTCTCCCCTCAGCGCGTTCTAGGCGTTAACACACTCTTTCCGGCAATCTTCTTTTTGCGTTCACACATCGTAGCAATCCGGCAAATTACTGGGAATGTTGCAACTTCTCTTTCCGGAAAATCGTTTGAACGAATTTACTGGTATTTTCAAAAAGGGGCGGTTTACACATACAGACCTTTCCGGTAATTTTTTCATAAAGGTCTGTATATGTAAAAGGGGCTTTTCACTAGATACTGCGTCACAATACAACAAAAAAAAAAACTGTTGCAGATTCGGGTTTATGTGGACTTTAAAATGATTTTTTTATGTGCAAATAGATGGAATTTGTGTTATGCATTTTGCTGTGTGTTTATTAAATGCTCATATATTATCTGCACAATGTCTCCTGCGGGGTTTAGACGCAGTTACAGGATTGGATACGAGGAAACGTTTCCATCTGCCCTCGTTCCATGTTCATTTTCGATGAAATGGATAAAATGCATCCCGGGTTGATCGACAGTATAAAGCCGTACCTGGATTTTTACGATAACCTGAATGGAGTGTCTTACAGAGAGGCCATCTTCATCTTCCTCAGGTCAGTGTCTACTAACAGAACACTTACGAATATATTTTTCTTTTCTTTTTTAGAAATTACTTTATAATGCTGAATTGATAATGAACTAAGAAAAGTTATATTACATTGTGATAATATTATAATAAATGCAACCCTGATAGGAAAAAGTCATTTTAAATAAATATAAAGTTTAGAACAGTTACCATTGCAGTTACCATACGTTTTTATTTGCTTTTAAACTGCATTAAAGGGCCTTATATATATATATATATATATATATATATATATATATATATATATATATATATATATATATATATTAGGGCTGCTCGATCTTGGAAAAAATCATAACTACGATTATTTTGGTCATAATTGTAATCACGATTATTCAAAACGGTTATCAGTTGAAGTCAAAATTATTAGCGCTCCTGATAATTTTGTTTTTTTTAAATAACTATTTCCCAAATTATGTTAAACAGAGCAAGGAATTTTAACAGTATTTCCTATAATATTTTTTTTTTCTTCTGGAGAAAGGCTTATTTTTTTATTTTAGCTAGAATAAAAGCAGGTTTAAATATTTTGAAACCAATTTTAAGGTCAATATTATTAGCCCCCTTAAGCAATATATTTTTTGATTGTCTGCAGAAGAAACAACTGTTATACAATGACTTGCCTAATTACTCTAATTAAGCCTTTGAATTGCACTTTAATCTGAATGCTTGTATTTAGAAAAACATCTAGTAAAATGTTATGTGCTGTCATCATAGCAAAGATAAAACAAATCAGTAATTAGACATGATATATCAAAACTATTATGATTAGAAATAAGTTAAAAAAAAAAAACTTATTTCCATTAAACAGAAATTGGAGGAAAAGGGTTGCTAATATTCAGGAGGGCTAATAATTCAACTTCAACTGTATATATATACAGTTATTTTCCACCCTGCAAAGGAAAGATAAATAATAACAATAGAATAAAAATATAAAACAAACTGTGATTGAAGCATCTTCACCCTAAGAAAAACACTTTAGCTACAAAAATCCTTCAGTCAGGAGCAGTAAGGGATGTTCTCGTCGTTTGATTAATGATAAAACAGGCGGCAGCATTTCGCACTGTCAATTTAATGGTTTCTCTTTCACGTGTCTTTTGATTCTCAACTCGTTTGTTTATTACACATATGAGGGTTAATATGAATAATCACTAATCACCGCGTTTTGACACCTATTACTTTAGATGTCTGTGCTCCTCTGCTCGTCTCATTGTGCAAATGAGAGCGAATGCTGACCGCTTGCTTATGTGTGTGCGCGTGTTGCACACTCACATAAGCACGCGGTCTTTCGCGCTTTTGGTATATGATGCAATAATCGTTTATCTCGATTAATGGTTTTTCAGAATCGTTAGAAGCCATAATCGAAATCGGATTTTCGATTAATTGCACAGCCCTTATTTATATATTTATATATATTACACCTTCTCATTTAAAACATTTTATTTTTTTAAAAGCGGGTGATAATCACACCAAAACGTATTAAAGGGTAAGTGAATTATAACAGAGCGACCTTTTCTGTAACCGTAGTTGTGCTGTGCGTCAATTGTTTAACCCTTTAATGTGACGTGCTCACTGACTGACTGAAAGGTGCATGATGCGTGAGGACAGCAAACACGACGAATAGCCGTTTCACTTTACTTCAACACACATTAATGCTACTCTGTAGGTCTAATGGAGATGTGCACAAATATTCCTAGCAAATCTAATAAATACTGGAGACATACTCCATACATAAATGCTCTAAATCGCACTACAGCAGCGTTTATTTGAGAGCGCACAAGAAGATCTGCGCGCTCTTGAAGCAGCTCACATTTGAGGGGCGTGCAAGAAGTTTTGTGCACGAGCAGAGGAAATCAGCGCGCAGGCAAAGAGATCCACATGCTTGTAGGCTATTACATAAATCTGATCTCGATTTCTAATACTGAAATAACTCCACAGGCATTTGGTATTTCTGTGTAAAAAAAAAAGGTCTGCCGCCACAGCTGGAAAAAATCTTAGAGGAAAGACTGTATGTGTGTGTGTGTGTGTGTGTGTGTGTGTGTGTGTGTGTGTGTGTGTGTGTGTGTGTGTGTGTGTGTGTATATATATATATATATATATATATATATATATATATATATATATATATTTCCACCTGCAATCTCTGTAAGAGTTTTTGTGTGTGTGTTTATGTAGTAACGCCGGTGGTGAGAACATCGTTCAGGTGGCTCTGGATTTCTGGAAGGACGGCAAAGAACGAGAAGAGATCCAGCTGAAGCATCTGGAGACGGCGCTTTCACTGTCTGTCTTCAACAACAAAAACAGTACGTCACACTGCCCATTATAAGGAGCAGAAAATACTGCATCATATAAAATAAAGAATAAAAAATAGCAGCATCATGTTGTGGGGCTGTTTTGCTCCAGGAGGGACTGGTCCACTTCACAACATAGATGGCATCATGACGAAAGAACATTATCTAGACATACTGAAGCAACATCTCAAGACATCAGCCAGGAAATTACAACTTGGCCACAAATGGGTCTTCCAAACAGACCATGACCCTAAGCACAGTGCCAAATTAGTTAAAATGTGCTTTAAGGATAATGGAGTGAATGTTTTGGAGTGGCCATCACAAAGCCCTGATCTCAATCCTATAGAAAATTTGTGGGCAGAGTTAAAAAAGCTTGTGCGAGCAAGACGGCCTACAAATCTGACTCTGTTACACCAGTTCTGTCAGGAGAAATGGGCCAAAATTCCTGCAAACTATTGTGAGAAGCTTGTGAAAGGATACCCAAAACATTTTACCAAAGTTATACAGTTTAAAAGCAAAGCTAAAAAATACCAAGTAAATGTGTGTAAACTTTTGACTGTCTAGAAATTAATAATAAATTGTCAAAAAAAAAATTCTCTCATTATTCTGGCGTTTAGCAAGTGTAAATCATTTAGGTAATCCTAATAGACCCAAAATATTAAACGTTTAGTATGATTTACCGTCAGACATTTAAAAAAAAAAAAATTATGTTAATTAAAGTTATGTTAATTTTTTTAGAGTGTATGTAAACTTCTGGTTTCATGGTTTCAACTGTAGGTGCAGCCCTACACTATATATTATCAAACTCATCTGTATTTATCTGTTCCCGCAGGCGGTTTCTGGCACACCAGTCTGATCGATAAGAACCTGGTGGATTTCTTCGTGCCGTTTCTCCCTCTGGAGTACAAGCACATCATTCAGTGCGGTCTGGCGGAGATGATCGCCAAGGGGCATTCGCCTGACAAAGAAGTGGTGGAAAAAATGGCCCACGACCTCAACTATTTCCCTAAAGAGGAGCGCGTTTTCTCCATGCAGGGCTGCAAAGTCATTCCCAGCAGACTGGACTTCTATATCTGAACGAGAAGAGACAGATGAGACTCTTTATAATTGACAGAAATGGAGGAATTGAGAGTAAACCATGCTCATTAAAGACTCTCAAGAGTGTTTTTATCCAATCACACGTCTTTTATACAACAATGGACTGTTTTATTAATGTCGAATCAGCTGCTCGTGTCCCTGTTTTAAAGGGTGTTTGTTTAAAGATGATGAATTTGCAGCGTACACTTTTTTAAAAAACGACTTTGCACATTATGGAGCTCCTGTAAAAAAAAAAACACTGGTGATTCTATGAAGCATTATTTGCTATCATGATTTATATATAAATTGTACTTTGTATGTCAAAAGCACTAATTTGCCTTCATCTTCAATTATCACAGATGTTTATTACAGCCTTTTTTGGGGGGTTTTCGGCTAAGCAATGTTTAGAATGAAAGTGATCGTTAGATAAGTCACATGACCTTAAAAGCTTTAATTTTCCTAATTTGTCAGGATTTACCATTTTTGTTAAGTTTCTGGATCACAGATTGTAGTGTTGGTGGTTTATAATTGAAGATTTTGAGTAAATGTGTGCCTTTATCTCAATAGAGAGATTTAAGTTCAGCAAAAAACATGATTTTTTATTTCTTAAAGGCACTGATTATTAATTGATCTTGTTTTGAACGTAATGTAACATTTGAGACGTTTATGAAGACTTCTGAGATGCTCCAGGAAAAAAATGTGAAATACTTGAACTACAAGTTGATTTTTGATAAACGTTACGAGCTAAACTAATTGTATTTGTCTGGAGAATTTTATTATTGCACACTTTCAGAAATGACGTGATTAGTGGACAGGTTTTTAAAATTGGTAAACAGAAATTGCCGGGATTTGAATATCATATACACATTCTGCAACAACAAAAAAGAGCTTTGGGTTATAACTGAAAGGACAAGATCTAAGATACAAGCTGAAAAGAGTTTCCTTCGCAGGGTGGCACGGTGCACTCTTATGGATAGGTCGAGAAGCTCTGACACCCGGGAGTAGCTCGGAGTAGAGCCGCTGCTCCTCCACATCGAGAGAAGTCAGCTGAGGTGGCTCGGGTTTCTGTTTCGGATGCCTCCTGGACGCCTACCTAGGGAGGTGTTCCAGGCTTGTTCCACAGGGAGGAGGCCTTGGGCGAAGACCCAGGAGGACAGGCTGGAGGGACTACATCTCTCGGCTGGCCAGGGAATGCCTCAGGATCCCCCCGAAGGAGCCGGAGGAAGTGTCTGGGGTTCTATCCTGAGACTGCTGCCCCTGCGACCCGGCTTTTAGATTTTCATTTTCAACAAGGTTTAATGGTAACCAACGATGCCAGCTGATGATATTTATTTTAAATGTCACCTAAACAGCGGCCACTGGAACAAACCTCTAAATAATGACTTTACTTAATCTGATTATGACTTGTCGATGATCTCAGATGCAGCACTTCAAGAAGACAATCTGTAAATATAGCTGTTATGCAGTGGTGGAAAGCAGGCCCGGATTGGCTAATCGGGAGGACCGGGAGAATTCCCGGTGGGCCGGTCCATTTTTTGGCCGCGAGGGCCGGTGTCTCTAGCTCCAGAATCTGTTGCTCTCAGCAGTCACACTTTTTAAAAATAATTTATTTATTTACTTGACCACAGCCTTCTTATTCATTATTTTACCGCAGCTCTGCTCTTTTTATCTATTTTCTTGTAGCCTCGTGAGCAAGATGCAGCCTGCAGGTTAATGATGATATAACTAGATAGGTCACCGTTATGACACCGCCGACCCGGGTACTCAAGAGTAGTGAGTATTACGCTGTGAACGGCTGCTGCAGTTTGTGCATGTGTGTGAAAACGTAACATTCTATAGTGCATCTAGTGATTGTTTAAGGCCATTTGGTGATTTGACTAATCAATGATGTCTAAACAGACTCTGGATCATTGCATCTAAAGATTTAGGATGTCGTCTTGGACTTTTATTGCTTCCAGACGGTTTGCTGCATTTATGAAACGCCCATGTCTTGAGTAACGCAACGCCACTGAGTGCTATTATGATAATCACTTCATAGTCCTTCCCATTTTGTACTTTATTTTTCATTAGCTCGTCACACACTCTTGACTTTTCTGGAAAAATACAGTAAAATTATCATGAGTGAACAGTCCCTTTTAATGAAATACCATAAAATTTGTTCAAGAAAATTTCTAAAATGAGAAGTTGTAAGCTTGTAATAACTTTAGGAAATTCAGCGCCATGTGCATGTGAATGCAACATTCTTTCGTTTAATGGTAAAGTTGTTCAGGTAACTTTATGGCAATACACTAGAATTACTTTGGTAAAAAAAACAGCTTTTTAAAAAAATTATTTATCTTTTTAAATCGCCAGACATGCAGTTACCCAGAAACATTTGTTCATTCTCTTTTCGGCTTAGGGCCTACTCACACTATGCCATCCGTACCGTCCCCAGGCCCGTTTGAGAAGTGTGAGTGCGCTGAATCGGGCTCAAGCACGGTTCACTTGGCCGGCCCTGGCCTGGTTGGAAGAGGTCTGAGCCCGGTTCACTTGGGCTTTGGCGCGGTACGCTTGTGTGTGAGTGCAAAACGCGCCAAATCCCGAAACTGAAAGCAAGACGTGATTTTTAAGGGACCGTTTCATATGGATTTATTAATCATTCTTACTGTTCAGTGAACGCAAACTGCCGTAGTTTATTAAAGACGCAAACTCCTCACTGCACGACAGCTGCACACCTTCAGCAGATCTCCTCATTCCTGCAGCACAAGAGCTTTATGATTGTGTCCCCGCATCCCTAAGGACTGTTTGGCGAAATATTTGACGGCATATCAAACGACTGAAACGATATAACTAGAGAAATCTCCACTGTGCTGCTGAGTGAGAGAGCGCTTCTCACTGAACAGCGCAGCAGCGATGACGTAAGCGTGCCGAAGCCCGTTTGTGGTGTGAGCGCGGGCCGTCGGGGGAGATGGGATGGGGGACAATCGTGCTTTGGCCCGGTTTGAGGCAACTTTACCTAGTGTGAGTACGGCCTTAGTCCCTTTATTAATCATGGGTTGCCACAGCGGAATCAACCACCAACTTATCCACAATATATTTTACGCAACGGATGCCCTTCCAGCTGCAACCCATCACTGGGAAACACTGATACACACTCATCCACATACATACACTATGGCCAATTTAGCGTACCCAATTCACCTATAGCACATTGTGGGGGAAACCGGAGCACCCGGAGGAAACCCACACAGAAATATTCATGAGGAAAAACAATGCAATGACAAACGTTTGAAAATAAACAGCACTTTATTTCTGATCCACGTGAATCCGAATGCAAAGGTGAAACAAAACAAAACATCAGAGGTCTTCATATCTTCTCTTGCAATTTCAATATTCCCTGGATAATGACGATGATGATGGGGGTTTTCCAGAGAAAAGCACTTTCCAGCTGTACTCGGGGGCACAGTTCAATAATAAACCTTTCAGGGTCTCCGTTAAACCAGCAACACGGCATTAATACAGCCATCATTTTCTGGGTTATTCGTCACCTGGGCGTATTTACCTGAAACAAGATCACATTCCAGCTTTACTCCACAAAATACATCCCTATCAAAGTCACAATGTAATCAAAAATGACCATTCTTAGTCATACTGCCGTGTTTTGTTTTCAAATAAAGTAATCTTATAATGCCAAATCTTACATTACTTCTGACTGTGTTTGCCTGATAGTAAAAAACTCATATACACAGAGAATGGCTTGAGGGTGAGTAAATTATGGGGTCATTTTCATTTTTGGGTGATCTATTCCTGCAAGTACTGCACTGACAAAAGTGAACAGCCAATCAGAAGCTCACCCCAGATGACCTTTCCGCCCTGTGTGACCAATCCGAGCTCGCTGACGTTGACCTCGATGACCGTTCCCTTCGTGATGACCCCGAGTGTTGTGTACAGCGAGGAGGACGGGTTCTTCTTCACACCCAGGATGGGCAAACAGAATGTGGCCTTCAGTTCAGGGTGAGTGACGTGTGCCTTGTTAAACCGCAAACCCTGAAGACATTATTAATCACATGATCAAAAACCGTTAACAATAATATTTCAATTTTTCTTATACTATATAAATAATAACGACAATTACAAAAGAATTTATAAACCTTAGAAAATGTACACTATATGACAAAAAGTCTTGTTGCCTCTTCAAGTTCAAGGAAGAACAAATAATACCTTCTAGTTGATCATTTGGTATCATAAGTGGCTTATATGAAAGGTAAAGGCCTCTAGATTACACTTATTTGACCAAAATAAAATATGATCAGGCCTTGATTTTTACTTTTTTAATTAGGACAGTAAGGTCTGACTTTGCTTAGACAAAAGTCTCATCACTGAACAGAAATAATGTCCAGTATAGAATATAAAGTCCTGCTGCAGTGGAGACAGAATGAATATTGTGTCTGACTCCATCATGAGCTTGGAGGACTGCATCATACATCTCTGCACTGACTCACATCACTGATTAATAAAGTCATCTGGAATGGCAAAGAAAGCGTTCCTGCAGGACTCCCAGAGTTCATCAAGATTCCTTGGGTTCATCTTCAATGCCTCCTCCCTCATTTATCAATAATGTTCATGTCTGGTGACTGGGCTGGCCAATCCTAGAGCACCTTGACCTTCTTTGCTTTCAGGAGCTTTGATGTGGAGGCTGAAGTATGAGAAGGAGCGCTATCCTGCTGGAGAATTCACCCTCTCCTGTGGTTTGTAATGTAATGGGCAGCACAAATGTCTTGATACCTCAGGCTGTTGATGTTGATCATCCACTCTGCAGATCTCTCACACGCCCCCATACTGAATGTGACCCCAAACCATGATTTCTCCATCACCAAACTTGACTGATTTCTCTAAAAATCTTGGGTCCATGCAGGTTCCAGTGGGTCTTCTGCAGTATTTGTGATGATTGGGATGCAGCTTAACAGATGATTCATCAGAAAAATCCACCTCCTAACACTTTTCCAAATGATTAACTAGAAGTCAAGATATCATTTGCTGCTCTTACAACTGAGATCCATGACAAGACTTTTGTCAGGCAGTGTACACTCTGTTTCTTTAATTTACTTATTTAAAGTGAGTGGACAACTTAATTGGTGTATGTTGAATTCAGATTTGTTCATTTAAATTGGTAAAACAATTTAGGTAACTTAATTGATTTGTGTTGTTAAAACATAAAGGAGATGTGTGGAACCCTGCCTTTTTTTCAGTGTAATATACATTTACTCTTTCTTTGTATATTTTTTATTTATTGGCAAAAAGCAAACATGTACCACAAAAAAAAAACAAACAGTTAAAACATAAATTAATACCATAATAATAATAAAACAATAAAAATATCTAAATTACAAAAAACATTTATTCAAATATTTCTTTCTTTTTTGGAAAAGATCTAAATGTTTTGTTTTTATTTGTCCTTTTTTTTAAAATCAAAATTACATGGACTGATTTTTGTTGCTTTTTGTCACACACACACACCCACACACACATACACACGATTCAGATGTTGAAGGTTCAGAAATATTAGTAACAGATGGTACCAAATAAAATGATTAACATTAGAATAACGAAAAATAATAATAAAAAATAACAATAAAAATTAAACTCAGAAAACTAGACAAAATGTTTGAAAAAAAGGACAAAGATTGTGTTTACCACCAAAACATTTCAGTACAAATATTATACACTGATTAAAAAATATGAATTACTTATCGGCGCAAGAGCCTAGTGATTAGCGCGCCAACATATGGTGCAGTAGCACGTCAGGGCGTCCCGAGTTCGAATTCCAGCTCGAGGACATTTCTACTACCCTACCCCCATCTCTCTCTTTCTCTCCAACTTCGCTTCCTGTCTAAATACTGTCCTATCTAATAAAAGCAAAAAGGCAGAAAATAAATCTTTAAAAAAATAAAAAATTAATTAATTTAAAAATGTTTTAAGGCTAATGACCTAAAATTAAACCAATTTTTAAAAAATATTCAAAATAAATAGAAAATAATAGGATTTTTTGGGGAATATTATTGTTAGCGTGCATGTGTGATATTTTACCATAGGTCTGATGAAGCGCTCATATTTGGGCGGTTTGCGGGTGAAACCGTCTCCTACGAAGCAGACTTTGGTCACCATTCTCTTCCAGGCCTTTTTCTGTCTCTTTCCTGTTCGGATGACTTTCAGAACCTCGGTTTCACCCTGAGCTCGAACCTTCGGTAAAGGAACCTCCCACTTTCCCTACATTAAGAATAATAATAAAAACATTTATAAAGGATCATGTGACAGAAAACTAAAGCAATGACGTAAAATTCAGCTTTGTATCACAGGAATAAATTACATACAATATATTCGAACAGCACTTTTTTTTTTAAACTTTTGGCCTAAGCAAAAGACATTCCCTTTTCATTCAAGATCATTTTTAAAATCTGTAATTATTCAAAAAACATACAGCAGTGAAACATCATGATTCTGCCCTCTGATTGGCCACTTACAGCTTTCTCTTTCCTCTTCTGTTTGATCATATTGGACAGAACTTTGGCACGTGATTGGCCCTCTCGGTCCAGCAGGTAAGCAGGCACCGCCCCTTCTGGTGTTTTATCGTCATCCTTCTGTTTGCTCTTCCTCTGTTCGTGCATCTTAATCCTGCGACACAAACAAACAGTTTAGCGATACACACTCGATATTTCAGCCTAAAGTAACAGCAGTGGTGGGAGACTCTCACGTCTTCTTCATCTGGATCTTCTCAGCGTGTCTCTGCTTGTGGTAGAGTTTGGCTTTGAGGCCGATCATCTTCCTGGCTTTATGCGAGCGCTCGTGGGCTTCACGGCTCTCCTTCTTCCTCTTCTTCTCGTGGTGGTCCAGACGGTAGCCATGCCGCTTACGGTGTAACTCGATGTGCTCGTTCTGCGGCTGCACACAAATACACAAGTTCAGGAATAAGAATATTTGCTCTACATTTTGTTTTGATTTGGAAGTAGGTTCAGGTTTGTAATATTAACTTTTAAAGGGGACCTGTTATACCCCTTTTTATAAGATTTAAAATAAATCTCTGATGTCCCTAGAGTGTGTATTTGAAGTTTTAGCTCAAAATACCACACAAATAATGTTTTATAACTCTCTGAAACTGACCCTTTTAGACTGTGATGCTAATTGTGTGGTTTTGGTGACTGTCACTTTAAATTTAAATGAAATTGTGATCTTTTTAAAAGAGGGCGGAGCTACTAATGCCTGTGTGTCAGCACAATGGCAGATTCAAAAACAAGACAATGTTATATCTGTGAAAAACTGAAAAAATATATTAAAAAAATACAAACAAACACAAAAATGCAATGATAATAATCCTAATGATTAAAAACTTAATGTATGACTTTAAAAATAAATATTTTATTATCTTATTAATCAGAGAAATCCTTTCAAATGTATATTTTGAAATATAAATGTCTGTCTCTTTTAGGGGTGTCACGATTTCGATTTGAAATCGAAATCATTCGAAATTTATGCTCAATTTCGATTATCGAATCAAAAAATAGAATCGTCGATGCTGCCACGCCCCCATGTCACGTCAGCTTGGCTTGCCAAGCGGGAAAAAAACATTATATTTCCAGTGAGTTATGTTGACAACGTTCGTGTTGTCGACAAAAAAAAACACAGTTTTGCAAGCTCTGCTATGTACGTATTACGTACGGTTTTTAATATTTTTTTTTCAGATACAGTAGACCCGTCGACAGAGCTTAAACCCTCTCCTCTTTCAATGAAGTCGCGGGTGTGTAAGCATTTTGGATTTCCAGTGAGTTAAGTTGACAACGTTCGTGTTGTCGACAAAAAAAACACAGTTTTGCAAGCTCTGCTATGTACGTATTACGTACGGTTCGTCCGATAGACAACACCGGCATCGCGATCCTCCGCCCGCCCCCGTTGCAAATCCGCTCGCGAAAAGTACACACTCAGGCCCTGTTTACACTGTCTTTGTTTTTAAGTGGCATTTTAGAACGACAACGATTTGACATCCACAGTGGCGTGTAGCATTTCTGAGCAGTCCTCCTTCCTCTCTACCTCTGAAAATGCACATCACGTGACCACACAGACACAGACACACACACAGCCATGCGCTCGAGACAGCAGGTCCAGGCAGTCAGAGGACTGCTTCAATCTTTCACTCACATGTACTTAGTCATTTTAGCGAACACCTCAGATACTGTTGGCTGGTTCCTGTTGGTTGTGCGTCTTTTTTTACCAACGCCATTATAACGACACAAATCACTGCCTATTCACGAGTCCCGCAGAAAAAGTGATTGACAGGTGGTAATTATGTGTGTATCTTGCCTTTATTCATTTACTGTATGATTTGTTTATGGGTAAAACAAAGACCATGCAGGTCAGGTAGTTTAAACGGTAGGCTACAAATAATTAATTGGTCATTAATTAATTAATTATTCATAATCAAAAATCTAATCGAATCGTGACTTTAGAATCGAAAATGTAATCGAATCGAGGATTTGGAGGATCGTGACACCCATAGTCTCTTTTCTGGTAAATTCTTACTAAATAAATAATTCTCTTTTATTTGTACTGACACTTTTCCCCTTGTATTAAAACCAGGACAGACCAATAAAATGTGTTTATTATATTCAGCTTTTAATCATTTACCCAAATCAGAACGAATATACATTAGAATTAAAGTCCGAGTCCACTTCAACCCCACAATATTGTAAAGATAGTCATCCTGGGAATATGATTGTAGGTAACAAGTGTTACACATTACAAAGTCCAAACTAACAGCCAGACATCAACACACAGAGATAACATGCAATTCAACCAAGCTCTAAGACACTGACTCACTGGGCTTTATGATGACAATAAAACAACAGATGAATCATAAACATTACAAGTACCATTGTTATAGTATATATCATGAGTCGTAGTTCTTATTTTACATGAACACAAACATTCACATGCATTTTTGTATAATTTGTGTATACTATTACATATTATATAGTACTAACAATTCCCAACTTAGTATTTAGAAATATTAATGTATAAATTAAACAAAAATATAATCACGACACGTTCCATTTTAATTAAAACATCCCATTAAAAAGTATTATTTTTCATAGCGTGTTTTAATTATTTTGCTTCAATAAAATATAATAGTGAATAGCTTTTGATATAAATGACAATAAATGTATTTTATGATACATAATATAATAACAATAAATGTATTTGAGTGTAATATCTATCTATCTATCTATCTATCTATCTCAATTTATTAATTGCTTTATTGGCATATCAAATGTTACAAATGTATTGCCAAAGCATTTATAAAGTTTACGTAAAAAAAACGTACATGTATAATAAAAAAAACACAGTGAACACAGTAGATAATAGTAGAAAAAATAAATAAAATAACATATTTAAATAAAAATATTAATAATATATTATAAATCTTTCTTTTTATATTTCTATATATATATATATATATATATATATATATATATATAATGTATTTAATTTAAACATAAATACATTTATAAAAGTTAAACGAATAGTATTATTATAACATTTTATTAATTATACACACACATTTACTGTTATTATATACATTACATATGTTTCGAGCAAAACGTAAACACACACGCAGCCACATGTCAGGCAAACTCGCTCTAAACAAAGGTTTTTACACGACATTGACGGTCATTTTCTACTTACCATGATGAAGTCTGTGTTGTTAAAGTGTTTATGGAGCTACCAGGTGTTGTTTAATCCGCCGATCGGTGTTTATTTCTGATATTTTGATGGTTTAATTCGTGGCTCGAGCTCGCGATGTTTTTCACTCAGAGCCTCTTCTTTAGAGGAAGCGCGTCTTGTAAAATCCGCCGGTCGCAACAAATATATGAACGTCGATATCTGTAAACCTTTGACTACATTAAATATTTAAGACTCTATATATATACAATGTAAAAAATACATGACATACATATTTATTAAATAAGGAATTAAAGTTATTTCTGTAGCACAGCATTTATTTAACATGGAGTGCTAGGAACCAAACATTTTCCGTCTTTTTTTCTCTCAAGGTTCATTGTGAGTGTAACACACGTAACAGCATGGCTGATGAACCCTCAGAGAAGAAAAATAAACCAAACACACTCTCAAATAAAGAGGTTTGCGTGATTTTAACGTTCTTCAAATTACTGCACTCGTTATACATTTAAAAACTGTGATAACTAGCTTTAGTAAAACGTTGTTTTATGTTCAACTGATGATGTAAAATGTATGTAATGTTAATGCATGTTATAATATTTGCATTTGTAGGGCGAAGAGAGAAAAAACTGGAAGAAATGGAAAGAACAAAGTAAGTGAGGAAATACTGGTGAAGTTAATTTTAGAAATGGTGTTATTTGTGTGTGTGTGTGGTCAAAAAGAAAGATGAAATTCTGAGTTAAAATGGTAAATGGCACATGGTAAGATCACGTATTATCAGCAAGGCATGACTACATGTGTTTTTCTGTATATATATATATATATATATATATATATATATATATATATATATATATATATATATATATATATATATATATAATACACACACATTCAAAAAAACTATACAAAACTATTTTGTTACATAGATATTTAAATTTACATATTTACATTATATATTTAATTTCTTAATATAAATCAACTTTTTATCAAATATATGCGTGCATGTACACATCGCACACACACACATGCATATATTTCATGTCAAAACAAATGTTTATTTTGGTTGCGATTAATCAAGACTAGTTTAATCATTGCCCAGCTATAACAAATCTATCAAAGGCCTTTTAGCTACAAAATGTTATATAAACTTAAAACTCTTCCTGCTAAAAACTCATAAGGTCTTTCTGTATTTCTTTCACCTAGAGAAAGAAGAGAAGCGGCGACGAAAAGAGACCAAACTCATCCAGCAGCTGGAGAAACAGAAGCTGAAGAAAGAGGAGGAAAATCAACAGCAGGTTAAACAGGAAGAGAAGGAAAGTAAAGGTGAGACAGCACCTCAGAGCTCTGCACTGTGTGGACTAAATGCACGGATGACCAGGGGTCTGATTCATAAATTTGTGCAGAAACCTTCCTAAAAGTATAAATACGTATTATTTATATTAAAAGTATGATTTATTATTAATAATTTTATAACAGTTAACTTGTAAATAATGTCACCCTACACTAATTACTGAATACAATTTTTGTCATGTATTTTATTATGGATTACACCATTGTGCATGTAAGTTGAGTGTTAGTAAAAAACGAGGATATTTAAATTTCTCTGTGAACTATCATTTTAAAGGGGGCATGAATTGAGAAATTAAAATTCCCTTGTTCCTCTGAGGTATAAGAGTTTACAGTATTATAAAAACATCCTGTGAGTTTCAGAACTCAACACTTTGTTATTCCTCTAAAATCATCTGATATTAAAGGCAGAAACGACAGGTTCTGGAATGTTCTACTCTGTGATGTAATAGAATGGATAAGCTCCGCCTCCATAAATGATTGGAACCTACTTTAACTTAACCTGCCTGTTTAGCCCTGTTAATATGCAAAACTGTCAGCCAATCAGAACAGTGGGCGTTTACTTCTGAGTCTACAATTGGCCATGCCCATCCAAACAGACCATACTAATGAAAACCAGCACAGAAAACAGCCAATTACTTATAAATGATGATGTTTTGTGATTTAAACATTATAACTGGACCCCAGATAACAGTACTAATTAAAAGACTGAGGTAGTTCTTGACCCCTATAATATATTTCTGTATTGTGTGGATTACACCATTGTGCGTGCATGTGTGTGTGTTCAGGTCGTCTTTATACAGTGAGCGTGGCTCTGCCTGGATCAGTGATGGATAACGCTCAGTCTCCAGAGCTGCGGACGTATCTGGCTGGTCAGATCGCCCGAGCGTGTGCTGTTTTCTGTGTGGATGAGGTGGTCATTTTTGACGAGCTGGGAGAAGACGCAAAGTGAGCTGCTATTTTGACTTTGCTAAAGATTTGCTAAATCTGCTATTTACATTTTAGCTGCTATTTAGATTTTGGTTACATTTAATAATTGATTGTTTTTGTTTTTTGGTTAGACAGCAATGCTTCTTGACGAACCGTTTACTGATTTGCAAAACTTAATCCCCCGGTTTCACAAACTAGGTTTAAGGCTAGTCAAGATTAAATTGCATGTTTGAGCTGTCTCAACTCAAATAACTTGTGGAGAGATGTCTTAAATATGTCAGTGTCATTTTTGTTTTGTCTTCAGGTGCACACCAGTAATATTGTTTCAAGGCCATTTTTATAAATGTGTCTTAAATAGCCTAATTTAACTAAGGCCTTAAGGCTTAAACTAAGCCCTGTTTGTGAAACTGGGCCAATATGAACTAATTTAATTAAACAAATTTAATTCATTGTTAAATAAGAATTTGAATATATCAATAAAAGTTCTCCATCATGTATTTCTTTAACAAATGCTTCGTTTAAACTACATTTTATGTACAGCACTTGTGTGTATGGTAGCCATTGTGGTTGTTTGAAAGTGCTTTAGAAATAAAGTCCCAATGAGAAAAACCGTTCTGGAAAAAGGCAACAGAACTAATTCAGTCTAATGCAGTTCAAGCTTTAAAAGGTTTTCTTAATGTTTCAGGAGCGTTGAAGGAGAGTTTAAAGGTGTGGGTAAGAAAGGCCAGTCCTGTGTCCAGCTGGCACGCATCCTGCAGTACCTCGAGTGTCCACAGTGAGTGCCGCCACCATTCAGTTTAATTCAATTCATCTTCATTTCTATAGCGCTTTTACAATGTAGATCGTGTCAAAGCAGCTGAACATAGAAGTTCTAGTAGATTGAAACTGCTTCAGTCCAGTTTTCAGAGTTGAAGTTTAGTTTAGTTCAGTTTAGTGTGGTTTAATTTTCACTGTTGAGAGTCCAAACACTGAAGAGCTAATCCACCGATGCGCAGCTTCACAAGTCTCAAACCAAGCAAGCCAGTGACGAGAAACAAACTTCACCAATTGATGAAAGTGAAGGAAAAAATCTCAAAGTCACCATTACACTTCTGGTATCTTAAAGGGACAGTTCTGCCTTCATCTCATCCTCTACTTGTTTTAATCCTGTTTGATTTTCTTTCTTCTGTTAAACACAAATATATATACTGAAGATATACTAGAAAAAACAGCCATTGACATGCATAATGTTTTCTTTTCTACTATGGATGTCCTCAACATTCTTCAGAATATCTTGTTTTGTGATCAACAGAAGAAAGAAATATATTAAGTTTACAACCACTTAAGTGTTAGTAAATAACGAGGACCGGGCTCGAAATTGCGCCTGAAATTTTATCTATGCGACCTCAAAATATATTTGGGAGCATTTGTGCGAGTGTATAAAATTGTTGTGAGCGACCAGTTTTTACGGCAAAATGTTCACCACATGCGCGGATTCAGGAGACATTCAGGCAGAATGCATCTCTAAGCTCTTTGTCTGGACTTAAAATGCGAAACGCAGCGCTCAGGAATGGTTTAAAACAGTTGTCATGTTAACTTGCTGCAGTAAACAAAGCCAAGTCTGTAATGCTTGCCCCGCCTCCGCGCTCTTCTCATTGGCCCACTGCTCTAGCACTGAAATATCAGCTGTCAATCACTCAGTCAATGCCTTCTGACTTGGGATGACAGAGAGAGCTACTACCATAAAAAATTTAAAGCGCTGAAGATGAGAATGAAGATAACACTGACAGATTTAGTTTTAGAAACCATGGCATCTAAAGTTACAAATAATGACACATCTTACTAGTGATCATGTGCTGAATCTTAATCCACCATCTACACTTTTTCAAGAGTGGATAAAAGACTTCCGTTGGCTTACAGTCCGCTATGAAAAGTCTGTGGGATGGAATTTTCAGGTAACTGTTTGCCACATCTAGCACGAGAGCTTCTGTTTAATCCTTCATATAATCGCCAGATGCTGTCCGCCATGCAAGTGGCAGCTATGTCAAATTTAACATGTACATCATCGCAAACGGGTTTGCACTGATTAAACTAACATCACTACTCATAAAAAGACTGGTATTGCTATGAACATGACGTATGCATATAATAGGGTACAGTATATGTCAAAAGCATCAGTGCAATATCAGACAGCACCCGTGAGAACAGCACAGTTATACCGTTAACTGATTCATTCATTTCAAGCAGTGTGTGCAGGGCCGGTGAGCGCTCCGTGTATGCTTTGGTCAGTTATGTTATAAAAATCTATTTTCTTGTGATAACGGGATTTCGTTGAGACATATTTTCCTTACGCTGGCATGAATATAATTTTTGCTTGTTAATTTGATTACTGTTGATTTCAAATGCAATAAATATGTTTGTATAAAACTTGTAGTAACGTTACTTATAATTGGTGGGTGCGACTAAAATTTGGCTGATGTGCCTACATTTTTAAAGTTAGGAACAGCGGTATTACCAAGCAAAAAGGTTCATTTTGAGCCCTGGAGGATATTTAAATTTCTCTGTGAACAATCATTTTAAAGGGGGCTTGAATTGAGAAACCAAAATTCCCTTGTCCCTTTGAGGTATAAGAGTTTACAGTATTATAAAAACAACCTGTGAGTTTCAGAACTCAACACTTTGTTATTCCTCTAAAATCATCTGATATTAAAGGCAGAATGACAAAATGACAGGTTCTGGAATGTTCTACTCTGTGATGTAATAGAATGGATAAGCTCCGCCTCCATAAATGATTGGAACCTACTTTAACTTTACCTGTCTGTTTAGCCCTGTTAATATGCAAAACTGTCAGCCAATCAGAACAGTGGGCGTTTACTTCTGAGACTACAATTGGCCACGCCCATCCAAACAGACCATACTAATGAAAACCAGCACAGAAAACAGCCAATTACTTATAAATGATGATGTTTTGTGATTTAAACATTATAACTGGACCCCAGATAACAGTACTAATTAAAAGACTGAGGTAGTTCTTGACCCCTATAATATATTTCTGTATTGTGTGCAGATATCTACGGAAATTCTTCTTCCCGAAGCATCAGGATCTGCAGTTTGCTGGTGAGCAACACACAAAAAATAACAATGATTCTTCTTTAAAGGTGATTGTAGTGTGCATTCGGTTGAACTGTGTGTGTGTGTGAATGTGTTTTAAAGGTCTGTTGAATCCTCTGGACAGCCCTCATCACATGCGCATTGATGAAGAGGCGGAGTTTCGAGAGGGCGTGGTTCTTGATCGGCCAGTCAAAGCAGGAAAAGGCTCCTTTGTCAACTGCGGCATGAGGAAGGTGTGTGTTTGCATTTATCCTGCTTTGTGTGTTTAGAAAATTGTGTTAATTGTAAATTTGAATTATTGTAATTGTATTTTTAATTGTAGTTTAATGTAAATGTAATTAGTTTCAAGTAAATTCTAACAGAATGGATTTTTTATTTATTTTTTTTAATAGCAGTGAACATGACGATTATAATTAATAATGACAACAAAAGTATATATTTTTATTTATAATGTTTTTTTTGTATTTATGGGGAATTCATTGTGTCTTGAGGAATTTCTGATGAATGTATACTCTCATTTATATGCTTATTTAAGCGATTTCAGTATTATTATTATTATTATTATTATCATCTATTGTAGTATCACCCATACCTTTGACATTATTATCAGGTATGTGTGCTTTGTTATATAAAAAAGTCACCCTGTGTAAATGCAGTCAGAGATGAGAGTGGATAGATAGAGGGTTGATTTATGGAAGCAAGGCCATAAGGACACCTGCGTTCTGTTCTGTAACTCATGATAAGGCACACCTGCACGTGCGCCCACACTCATTTGTAATGACTTATAAAAAGTATAAGTACCCGTGAACTTCAGCTGAACATACAGCTGACAGCTCAGTGGACAGTGAACAAGATATATTGTTGAGCGTTATTACTTTTGAAACAGGAAGAAAAGACCTTGGCTGCGTCCGAAACCGCCTACTACTCAGTAGGTACTGTATTTTAATTTAAACGTACTACTCGGCGGTTAGAAAAATACGTTGTATAATGTGAAATGTATGAATGTAATTCGGACGTACTACATCTGCCATTTTGTCATGGTCACGTGACCTACCTGCGTCAGTTGCGTCGCTTCACTTCCACATATGAATTCTCACGCAGGGCATTATGGGATAGCGCAGCGTGCATGGGATGCGCACTCCAGAATCTCGCCGGAAGTAGTAAGTCATCCGGGTACTTCTCGCAAACTGATTTTCGAATTCTATGAATTCAGACATACTACTCTGCTCGCATACTGATTTTAGTGTACTATATAGTATGGAAGTATGCAGTTTCGGACGCAGCCCTTAACTGGACATAGGTAGAGGACCCCTGAAAGACCCTGAGATTCTATTGGTGGAGGACACCTGAGAGATTTGAGATCCTAACAGTGGAGAAGCTAAGGGAGATGTGTAATGTGTAAATTTGGGTGGAGTATTAAGACAAAGAAGTGTATTTAAACTGTGTGCTAGCCTATACTCATCAGACACTCGAACGACCTGTCTCTGCTGTTACTAATGCTGTAACAATAAACTGCTTTGCCTGAAGACTTAGGAGATCTTAGACTTTGCCATTTTTTTTTTGAGAACTTAGAATATTTTGCAGACCAGAATCTTTTTTCCACAATCTTTTTTTTCTTTTTTCCTTGAATTCTTTGCTGCACAAGAAATGACCTCAGGCTCTTTGCTGTGTTCACAGGAAGTTCAGATCGATAAACAGCTGAAAACGGGACTGAGAGTGACCGTACAGCTCAACGAGAGCCAAAACAAAGGTGCGCAAAATATTCTAAAACTACAAACATATTTTGTTACCTAAAACAAAGAATATAGAAAAATCTATTAAAGTAAATTACAGTAGTTATTCGGTGATGATAAAATAAAATGTTTCCATTTTAAAATAATAATTTTGAAAAGTTTTATTTTAATTTGTTGCTGTTTTGCTGTATGCACGTTTAGACTTTGCATTATTTTTTTTTAAATAAAAAAAGATTTACTATTTAATTGGTTTTATTTTATAATAATAATTTAATAATTGTTTGTAAATAAATTGAAAACGTTTGATAAGTGTTCGTGCGAGCAAAAGAAACCAGGTGAATAGCGAATGAGAGGATGATCAGGCACATGGTGAGAAGATTAACTCTCCTTTTATCTATAGTTACCTCGGGCCTCATGTATCAACGCTGCGTACGCAAAAAAACTTTGTGTACGCCAGGGGTCCGTTCTTCGTACGTGGATTACTCAGTTAGCTGGATTTGGATGTTGACGATTTGACACGATCCAGGATCGTTTCGTTCTTCAAAGCTGATCCGAGAGTTGTTGTCATAGCAACAGTTCTGCTAGCTTAAACCTGATCGGGAGCAGGTTCAATTCATATAAACAGGATTAGATCGGCTCAGTTCAAGCAAAGATAATACAGAAAGTATGTTCTGAATTCTTATATTTTCTTACAGTAGTAGTTATATACACTTGGGAAAATGGTACATATTTTTTAACTACATATATAAAGTTATAGTCATTAATAAAATAAATAAAGTTATACATATTAATAAAACTTATGCAATCTGCACCCTCGAAATGAAAGTACAAAGACTGCCACCTGGTGCAAAGAGAAAACTTATTGATATGAACTTTTTAGATCGCTTTAGTACAAATTGTGTATAATAGAAATGCACAATATGTGACTTTTTTAAAGCAATAATACATTTATGCAGTCATAAAGATGTTTTGATAGTTAATATGCCAGTGATTTGATGCTTCACAAAAGTCGCAGACGCCTTTACCAATATGAAAATGCTTTTGTAAACAACCAGTTATTCTTTACACCGATTAAAAAAACGGCTACTATAATAAAGAAAATCTTTTCTAAATGTGGAACTAAATACATTGATTTGCATTGAAATACATGATGAATACTCTTGACACATGAAAGTGTAAAGCCTGCAGCTCACAACAAATGGGAAGGTTATTGCGTGTCATATTTAACAAGCCGTTTACTGCTAATTTGATGTAGCCTAATTTTGCTCACATGGATAATTGAATATTAATCAGATGCTGTGCCATCAGCCAATCGTTGCATTGCTGATCATGATTTCGAGGATCGATAGATCTGTCCTTCACAACACGCAGCGATCTCAGATCAGTTAATCCAGACATTCTAATCTGATTCGCGAACTTGTTTGAAGAACCAAATTAGTGAGAGATCAGTTGTCAAGATTAAAAGATCCAGGATCTGCCAAATTATCTTAGATCATTTAAGCAAGGTACGAAGAACGGACCCCAGGTTTCATGCTCAGAATCGCACACGTTTGGATTTACTAACGATGAACTGAACGTGGGAATGTGCGCAGCTCCACGCCAGCTATTTTTTCTGGATTCGAACCGAGTTCATGCTTGAACCTGTCAAAGCATGTTGCCATGGATTTAACGAGCTGCACCACTTAGGATGTTAAAGACGCTGCAAAATTTTACACCTATAGATGGCACTATTTCTATTTAATCCACTCTGTGCGATGTTCAGACCCAACTGTGTTAACCGCATCAGCTAAACTCTCCCCACTATAAAAAAAAAACTCTCCCCACTCTATTTTTTCTTTTGTTATTAATTCCGGAGGACAAACTTGCAAATAAAATTGTTTTTCTCCGGCATCACCCTATATATATATATATATATATATATATATATATATATATATATATATATATATATATATATATATATATATATATATATATATATATATATATATATTAGGGGTGTAATGATACACAAAAGGCACGGTTCGGTTCGGTTCATGGTTTTGGAGCCACGGTTCGGTTCGGTTTCTGTTTGCTGTGGGGTTAGGGTTGATGTCATGTTAACAGCAATGCTAAGGGACAATTCACTTAATAACAAGAACATCCTAACTTTTTTCTTTATTAACTTTGTCATCGCATTTTTATTACAGTCAGGATACCCGAGTAAACAACTAGAATTAAATAAATACCTCCAATATAGACTAGTCAGAAAAAAAACTATTCTCTTTAGTGCAGCCATCTTAACTAAGTAAACTAAAATTAAATAAATAACTGCAGTGTAGACTAGTAAAATATCTTCTTTAAAAACACCATAATATCCACATTCTCCGATGAGAGGCTTGATCGCTGTGCAGACACAGACGCTCATTTTTAATTATATGGTTTCATTTAGATAGATAGGTTTCCGTTTAAATTAACGAAAAATATACATATACTGTGTTTGTAAAGTGTTTATTCATGACATATTCACCAGTAAAATACATTGCGGTTGTGTCTGAAACTAATGTTAGGGTTGTAGCCGGCTGTATGTTTGCCTCCCGATCTCTCTCTCTCTCTCTCTCCCGCTCCCTCTATGCCGGTCATTTATGTAGGTCCGCCTTCATGACAGCTGATGCCTGTCATTTCTGTATGCCCGCCTTTTTGACAGGTGATTGGTCAGGAGACCGATCTATCATCATTTGGCAACGCAGCTCGGGAATGTAAAAAGCATGTCAGGAAGAGCGGGAGAGAGAGCGCTTTTTCCTTTGATCTCGTTTTTCGTGTATTTTTCTGACATGATTATGATTTTCGTTGTTTTTGCTTAACTTTTGTTTGGGTAAAATTATTTTGCATTACTTTTGCCCACTTTAAGAAATTTTGTGAGGTTTGTACATTTTTACTTCAATTGATTTGTATATTATCCGCTCCTTCCCGACAATATAGCATTATCTCCTCAAGTTCAGTCTTAGTGTAAGGTGGATAGGGAAAATGTCATACGATTTCCATTTTGCAAACACAAAATGTATTGTTAAAGACATCAGGTAAGAGGTGAAGGTCATCTTTGTTTATTTTATTCAGTATAGGGAAGAATGCGGCGCACGGCGCTCAAGACCTTTTTTTTCTTTTCATCAGTTTTAGCGAGGTAAGAGGGGTTATTCATGAGTTAGAATTGTTTTATTATATTTATTTCTTTTGTTTGTCTTCACTATCACCCCCTTGCTCGAGTTTAACTAATTTTTGTTTGATACTTTTGTTTGAATTTGTTACTTTATTATATTATTTTTATTAGTGTAAATATTTCTCTTTTTTTGTATATTTGGGCATTATTCTGGTTTTACTTTTGTACATTAAATAACTTTTGTTGGCAGTTCTGTTGCTTACACCCTCACATTGTGAAATTACCACACTTTTTAAATGTTTTTCCTTACAAGTAAGTTTCGTGAAACAGTTAAGACAGACAGGCGTGCGCTTTGTCTACGACACGAATTCTATTCCTGTACTCAACTGGAAAACCAAAATGTTTCCACACAGATGACTTAAATGTGTCTAGGGGATCTGCAATCTCAGAACTATGTGAAGCAGCCATCCTGCGTCCAGTAGTAACGAGTGTGATGCTTACTCAAGTCACATGACATAACATGCACTAAAATACTAAATTTAGAATATAATATTTAGAACAAATTCTCATCATTACTAAAACAATTTAATCAAATATGATATTAAAGATGTGTTTAAATTGGTTCAATTAGTTAGAGACAAGTGACGTCAACCTCAACAATGGGCAGCAGGGGGCGTGAGAGTACCGCGGTACGCCACGAGAGTTTCGCGATACGTATTGTGGTTGGTGTATTGCGATATTTCGGTTCGATTTTAATATCGTTACACCCCTAATATATATATATATATATATATATATATATATATATATATATATATATATATATATATATATGAGCAATTCCATGCAAACATCAACCTTGCCATTAAAAAAAATTTGTTTTCACCAAAATAGTGAAACCGTTTCTATGTTTTTTTTTGTGTAAGCAAATATCCAACAATATATATATATATATATATATATATATATATATATATATATATATATATATATATATATATATATAAAACATGTGTGTCTGTGTTTCAGATGGAAGAGTGTATAAAGGTGTGGTTGTTGCTCCTCACATCCCCAGGACTGAAGCTGGACTCTACTGGGGATACAGCGTCCGACTGGCCTCCTGTCTCAGTGCGTTATTTCCCTCCATGCATCTGTGTTCACTTATTTTCACTCTTTTTAAAATGTGTCTTTTATGCATGTGTATGTGTTTGTGTGTGTATATCATGCGTTTATTGTTGTATATTTTGCCTATTGTATGTATTGTTGTTTATTATGAGCATGTCTTTGTTTTCATCTGCCTTTATTGTGTCTGTGTGTTTATTGTTTGTGTCTGTGTGTTTATTATGTGTTTGTTTGTGTTTGTGTGTGTTGTATGCGCATGTGTATGTTTGCTTATAGTTTGTGTGTCTGCATTGTGCTTGTGTGTGTTTGTTGTTTGTTAGTGTGTGTGGCTTGTTTTATTGTATGTGTATGTGCATGTATATGGATTTTTATTGTGTGTGTGTTTGCTTATTGTTTGTGCGTCTGTGTATTGTGCAAATATGTGTATAGTGTTTATTGTTTGTGTGTGTGTCTTATTTTTGTGTTTGTTTGTTTGTGTGTATTGTGTGACTTTATTGTGTTTTTTTTTTTCATTGCCTTATTTTGTTGTGTCTTTTGTTTGTTCGTTTGTGTATGTCACTGTTTTGCACATCTTTATTGTGTGTTTATTGTGCGTGTGTAGGCGCTGTGTTCTCTGAGTGTCCGTATAAAGAGGGTTATGATCTGACCATCGGGACCTCAGAGAAAGGACAGAACACAGATCATGTGACTCTCCCAGCCTTCAGGTCAGTTTCTGCTGTGTGTTCATGAGTGTGTGATCATGAGTGTATCCTGTAACCTGTGTGTGTGTGTCCGTCAGGCACATGCTGGTGGTGTTTGGAGGTCTGCAGGGTTTAGAGGCCAGCGTTGATGCGGATGAGAATCTGACCATCAGTGACCCCAGCGTGCTTTTTGACCTTTACCTCAACACATGTCCAGCACAGGGCAGCCGCACCATCCGCACAGAGGTCAGAGAATCAATTCAGTTCATCTGTACTTATTGTACTGTGTAAAAGTGTCAAAGCAGCTTAAATCATGGGGTTTAAACTAGGGATGCACCGATATGGATTTTTTGGCCGATACCGATAACCAGGGTCAGACGGAATCTGCGGAAGTTTTTTGCTATTTATGCAGAGAATTTTGGTAAAAATCTGCTGATTTCTGCGTATTTATTTTGGGAGTTTCATAACTAAAACCTTAATGTGTGAAATAAAAAATAATACCCTTTTAACTTTTATTTAATGTTTAAATTGCAAATCCAACGTTTTGGTAAACAAATCAAGTCTCTCATATAATATCTCTACTAAAAGACAGAAAATATTACTGTACAAACTGCATTGTGCATAAATCAGATGCACATTTTCATATTAGTCAGTAATACTACTGTAATTAATTAATAAACTGAATAAATATAGATTTACACATGTTTACTCAAGTAAAATAAACAGAATTAATGATGGGCTGGAAACTTTGCGCGCACAGATTCCGTGTGGGCCTACCGATAACCGATAATTCTTCAGACTTGGAGGCCGATAGCCGATATGTATAGGCCGGTAATTATAAATATTTCCAAATGTTATATTTTTATACAGCAAACTTCATAAAAGATTGAACTGCTCTTATGAACTGAATTGACCTTATTCTAAAATGCGAAAGTGCGCCTGTTTTCGCGATTGTCTTAGAAATTCCGATTCAGTCGCCTATGGGAGAAATGACTAGGAATAATAAACGGCAGAAAATGGTCAAGCTACTTGCTCTACAAACAAATGTTTGCATTACTATATAGACCAAGTAGAATAATATAATAAGGAACTATCAAATTGCAACATCGAGCAGCGTAACAAGCAGTTTTTAACGTCAAAAAATGAATTGAAGTGAATGAAACCGGAAGTCTTGAGCCAAAAAGATTCAAATGGCAGCGCCCGCTCGTCGGTGGAGAATAAGGTGAATAGTCTATACTCAAAGCAAAAGAGACCTATATTCACGATTTCACACAAATCAGCATGCAAAAAATACATTATTTTATTTTCTTCATGGCAAACTAACATGCAACTTGACTGTTGCAACAAAATAATAGGTTAAATAACAAAATGGGATTTAATCAACAAGCACGTTAAATATATTTTAAATAAGATGAAAATCAAAGAGCCAAGGACTGAAACCAGCTCATATGTTCTTGAATAATACGTGTTACAGTGATGTACACATGTACAAATATGTCATGTTCGAAAAAGCCTTTTTTAGAGGTGTTTTGACAGTTCTGAGCCACAGAAAGCTAGATGGATAGATTCATCCTATTTGGCGTTTTAGATTCTTTTGATTACATGCAGCTGCTTGTCAATCAGACAGCACTTCTGTGTTCGTTCTTGCTCGCGGGGAAAATTATTGGTGAAAAGTTTATGATAAACTGCTGTGAGTTTCACTCAACTGCGGCTGCAGATTTGCCCTCGGAGTCAGATTTTGATTCAACACCTGATCATTGAGCTCAGATGACTTTATGATAAACACAGAGAATAATAAAAAGACAGAATGTGCGGCGAGTTTATGCTGGATTCAGTGACCGGCACATCATAGGCTCTCCTCCGTGCTGCTGTTTTGAAGTTTGTCAGATCAGTGTGTGTGTGTGTGTGTGTGTGTGCTCAGTGACAGCTCTCACGCGCACTCGTTATAATCAATATGAATATTCCAATCAAACTGAATACAATCTTACACTAACAACACATGGCAAGCAACGCGTTCATAATAACAAATAATCATATTAGATTAATAACAGCCCTGCTGTTTAGCACGTGTGCAAGGGTTTTGTGTGTGTGTGTGTGTGTGTGTGTGTGTGTGTGTGTGTGTGTGTGTGTGTGTGTGTGTGTGTTGTTGAAGCGGAGAGGGAGACACAGAAAAGAGAAGCGGTATTTTCGCAATGAGACTGTTTATTAGTGGTGATTGGGCCAAGTTACATGTGTCCTCGCCTATTCACCGGCTGCAACGAAAAGAGAAGGAAGTTCACCCCGAAACTTATATTATTCGGCCCTGGAGTAATAAGTGAATCTCCCCTGCTATCTCTTACACAACAAATAGACAGAGCAGGAAACGCTTATTACATATGTAATATTTTTTCCTGAGGCGATTTGATGCAAAATACACAATGACACTCAATCAAACACATCTACAATGATACGGAACATGGTTACTTACTGAGTTATTAACGCACAGCAATACCACACGAAGAAAGGACGGACTTTAAAGGAATAAACAGAGTGAGGAGAGATCCATTATAGTGCACTGAACAAGTGTGAACATGTTCCGCCCACGCGTGCGCGAGGCAGGCAGGTCTGTACAATTACGTAATTTATCGGCTTAAAGATATCGGCCTAATTTAGACATCAGATCGATAACGATAATCTTAAAAAATAGCATTTATCCTCTGATAACGATATGGCCCCCGATATATTGTGCATCCCTAGTTTAAACCATAGACTGTAAAAGATAAGGATGTAGTATCAGTCACGTCACCCATAGGTTTCTGAAGAACGCAAAAGAAGCTGCAAGTCGGTGTGGCCAACCGTTACCATTTTGTTTACGAGTCATCACACCGACCGTGGGATACCAAACAAGGGCAAAGAGGTGGAGCATGAGCAAAGCTACAGATGCCTGCTTGCATTTTGCTTAGGCAGGCTTTTCTATGGGAGAAACTCTAAATACGTCATTACCAGCCACTCGTTTGTGTTCTGTCCACATGTGCTTGGTTGTACACTATATCAACAAAGTGTTTAGTCTTTTAAAAACAATGTTGTAATACATTGAGCCACTAAGCATTCTAGTAAATGCAAGGCTATTTATGAAATCAAGGCATAACACTGTATGGCAACGTTTAAGATAATAATAATAATAATAATAACCTTTATTTATCCAGGTAAGTCAATTGAGAACCAGTCCTCATTTACAGTGACGACCTGGCCAAGAGGCAACATGAAAAGCAGATGCAGTACAAAGCAGTAGGGACACAATACAATAACAATTTCACAAATGCAGATCATAACAAATAAAACCAACTAAAAACAAGCACTGTAATCTTGAACTATTGACTGGATTGAATTATTAAAAGACGATAGTGGAGTGAAAGTGCTGAGCTTCAAGGTCTGCAGCAGGTGATTCCAAGCATCAGCAGAAAACTGAAAAGAGTAGCGACCAAATGAAGTGCAAACTTTGGGTATGCAAAGGTTAATGAAATTGCTAGAGCGCAGATTTCGACGCGTTTCCTGAATGTTAAGAAGTGACTGTAAAAATAGTGGAGTTTTTCCCAATTGGAGTTTTGTAAATTAACAGAAACCAACAAATATGTCGACGATGTCAGATTCTGGAGTGCATTACAGCTCTAAAGAAAGATAAATGATCTTAAATAAACAAATACATCCAGGGTTCAACGCTAAGGATTTTTTCTACTGGCCCGATCGGACCGGTGGTTCAGATTTTTACTTGCCCTGCCAATATTTTCACTTGCCCCACCAAAAAAAAAAGTAATATTTCTAGCCACAAATTTTAAAAAGTGTCAATGTTTGTAAATTTAGAATTTAAATATTTAAAAAATATTAATGAATGTGTAATGAGGAAATTTCAAAGTGTTATGCAAACAAAAGTAGCAAAATGTGCAGCTATTTTATTGCAAAACAAAAGGTGGCTGACCTGCCAAACTGACGGCAAACTGTACAAAACATCACTTCATTTTTTTAGTCGTGGTGTACCCTCGTAAATGTCTGCTTTCAAGACGAAAGAAACAAATGTTTTCCTTTAGCATCATCACTTGATGTTGCCGCCATGTTGCTGTCTCTTCGCTGTACTGGTTGTAACAAAACAAATAAATAAAAATAACATGCTCTCAACATCCAATCAGATCAGAGGAACCGAGAATCATTTGAAGTAGCATTTCAAGGCTTAAAAAAAAACACATACTGTTTCTCGATTCTGACGGCACGCAATTGACAAATAGTCACAGGCAAATTAAACTTAAGTGACAAGGCATCAGTGGCCCGATCGGGCCAGTAACGATCCTGTCTACTGTGCCTAGCATCTCACACGCTGGGCCCGGGCCATTGGGCAGTCCTTATTGTTGAGCCCTGACATCTATAGACATGGCATATAAGTGCATAATTTCACTCAGCTGGGAAATGGAGGACACGTGAATGGTTTGTGAGCACAATTAAGTGCACACAGCATGCCATGCCATCTGAAATAAAATTGCAGGATATAATTCCAAAAGGTAACTGATTGTGTAAAGCCTCATAAAACAACACTAAAATAAGATGTATATGCCGAGTTCAGTGGCTAATCAGCCGGAATCAGCTGAGGTGACAAAACAGCGAGCAGCGAGACCTAGCTGTCAATCAAGTGGCCACGCCCTTAATTATGCAGACTTAATAGCCCCTTTCACACAGTGATACCGGTAAATATATGGAAAATTTCCAGAACGACTTTACCTGTAAATTCAAAAAAGCGCTGTTCACACAGGCGAGGATGTTACGGTAATTTTCTGGAAAAGAGCATTCACACATCCATTCCAAATAGCCGGTAAATTCTGACATCATTAACAAGAAATGAGCTCTAAACGGCCGCGCTTGTGTTTGTAAACATTTGACTACATCACAAACTCTGTGGATGGAGAAGAATTGTGAACAACTTCGATGAAAACATATAGAGAAACACTTCGCATGTCGAGATGTACATGATATGTGTGTGCTGGCGCTCATGGGCTGTTTCACGGGCACACGCAAAGCTTGAAGGTAAACAAACAACAGCTTATCATAAGCATCTTATTGATAATTATTTACACAGTTGGCATGAAGATGAACATGTAAACGTTATCTGACTAACATCTAGCAGCTAAATGTGTCTGGGAAAATATTTAAAGGCTTTTATTCTCCTAAACCGCGCGGACGGGAATGCGTCTGACTGTTCTGATTGGCTAAAGCAGGCGTCTCACGTCAGCACGTTTTAGACATGCAAGCGCTTTATCCGACAATCTTCCTTCTGTGTTCACACAGCGCAGCATTCCGGCAAATTACTGGTAATGTGACAACTTCTCTTTCCGAAAATAGCCAGAACGAATTTAGGGGTATTTTCAAAAAGGGCCTGTTCACGCATACACACATTTCCGGGAAATTGCAGGTAATTTTCCGGAGAGGTCTGTATGTGTGAAAGGGGCTATTTTAACTTAATATAAACTAAACGGATGAGTTATAAACAAATTCACCCCTCTCACAGTTGTCATGAAGGGTAATATTACCTATCTGCACCAAAATCGTTCTTTGTACCAGGCTGTAAACACTTTTTTTTCCTGCTGTAAAGTTGGCCATTTTAACAGTGGTCTCAGTAGAAATCAGCTTTATTATGGAGCCAGGACTAGCGGAGTTTCGATGAATTGCAGTTTGAGTTACATATTTGCTGCACCAGGGAGAGCGGGAGGTTGCTGCTTGGCAAAAACGTATCAGAAATTTAAATCAAGTAATAAGATAATATTTATCATTCATAACATTTGAATCCTGATCCTCACATGAAAAATGACAATACAAATCATACAATTAAATGCAGTTGTATTTAAATAAGCAAAGTTCATGGTAAAAATGGTTTTGTCTTGCAAACAGGAGGCGCTATTGATCAGTTTGTCAGGACTCCGACAGAAAATCGCATCTACATTTCCAGACCCACCCACAGGATGACCAACAGAAAGTGCATCTTAATGGACCACAGGAAGTGCATCAACAGGTTGAGCAATCCAGACTAAATCTGCACTGTAAAACTGCTTCCTATTCAATGTACATTTTTTGAATCATTTCATATTGACCTTTTATCGAAATATTAATGTATAAAAGTTGTTTGCAAACATAAAAACCACAAAACTGGAGCCTCTGTTTTGAAATGTATACGTTTATTTTCTTAAGACAGGCATGTAAGGAACATTCATAACGAGAGACGAGCAAAACAATCGGCTCATATCATCATATCACTGCAGTCATGAGTAATCATCATCATAACACACACTGCTTTTATTCAGAACCAATGCATTTTAATACAAACGCAACAGATGATAATACTCAAAGGCAAGTCATTTGTTTCAAGAACAAAACAAATAGAGGTTTCAACATCATGAGGATTATCAGGTCATGTTTGGCTTAATAATGAAAGAAATTAATGTTCAGGATATTTATAATGAGTTGTTTTTTCATGCTTGTTGAGTTTTGACACTTGAGGCGACATGAGTTACAGCATCTATTCAACTAAGAGACAGTTCACCCTGTAATAAAATTAACATTTGCTAATTTACTCATCCTCAGGCCATCAGAGAGGACTTTTATCTTCGATAGAGCGTTAAAAACAGTGTTTAGCTGAAACAGGTTATTTATTAAATGCATGTTAATAGGTATCGGCACTTTAAGAGTTAAAAAGGCAATGATGTTGTGCAAGAAACAGATCTTAATTTACAACATTATTACCTTTAATTTCACAGCCTTGGCTTTTTTATGCTATTAAGTGTTTCGTTTTGTAATGCGGGGTCACACTAGAGTTTGAGCATGCAAATTTCTGTCATACAACATTGCGAAAAGAGGCGGGATTAAACAAGATGATTAGTCATTTTAAAAAGCGGGCGATTGGTCCATATTTAAAATTTCAGTCCAGAGAGGTCATGTTTTGATCTTCGATTGGTCTCACGCAGTCACATGATTCGACTTCACAGGTCGCATGAGCCCACGTTTCCGATCTGTTACATTCTACGTATGACTGGATGAGACTATTGGGCGAAAAGTGCAGTGCGATCACAGCTTTAGTGATGTAAGAAGAAGCATTACATGTAATAATCTTTTAAATGGCACCATCAAACATTGAGTTTTTGTTGACAGTGGTTTGCCTAAAATAGTTGCACATACGTTTTTTGGGTTTACTTTGTGGAACAACAACAACAATAATAATAATTAATACCAAATGCACCGAAGCATTGCCGAAACATCTTGTATTTCATGAGGGAGAGTAAATTAACCACATTACTGCAAATGAACTGAAGCGGCTCTCTTATTCCATTTCCTACGACTTAGTCCCTTTATTCATCAGGGGTCGCCACAGCGGAATGAACCGCCAACTTATCCAGCATATGTTTTACACAGCGGATGCCCCTCCAACTGCAACCCAGTACTGGGAAACATCCATCCACACTCACATGCATACACACCCAATACAGCCAATTTAGTTTATTCAATTCGCCTATAGCGCATATCTTTGGACTTGTTAGGGACACCGGAGCACCCTCAGGAAACCCATGCTCGCACAGAAATGCCAACTGACCCAGCTGAGACTCAAACCAGTGACCTTTTTGCTGTGAGGCGACAGTGCTAACCACTGAGCCACCCCTCTTTTATTTGTTAACCGTTATTTATGCGTTATTTTTTACAAAAACAAAGGCAAGACGTTTAAAGCAGCGCATTAGTTACTACCTCTACCGACAACCAGAGCCGTCCAATGAAAGCGGAGTGCCAGAACAGCATCGTCCAATGAAAGTGGAGCATTTACAACAGTCATTTGAATGATACTGGTATAGAAAGAGAATCGGGATTTCTCTTGAATGAGTTTGTCTATACACTAACAGCATTAGTCAGAGAGATTCAAGTGGAACAAATGATCAATAACAGCAAAATTACTCAGTAAAAAGGCCTCTACGCACCGCCAACTCCACGCAAACAGCAACACTATGTTTGTGATTGTTTTTGAGAGTATAGTACATTTGATTTATTTAGTCAGTGACGAAGATGTGCCCGGGTCATGCTTCAGATTGAATTCAAGCTTATTTTAGGTCCAGTAAGATGGAGGCCTGACACATTAATCAATATATTGACTAATCGCACAACACATGGACATGACCTCAATAGGGTATATGCCGAGCTAGTGCTGTTCCCATGCTGATACACTTCCGGTTACCTGTTATTGTGAACTTTTTTCCATTTTATACGGTTGCTTATACAGCATCGATGTTGTAATGTAATTAAAATACATTCATTTAAATAAACTTTAGCATTTATTTGGTTGTTCAAGCGTAAAACGAGACAAAAAGCCGTTTACTCGCACACGCCCGTCAGAATCGGCAGGCTAACGCAGAAGCTCCATTGAATGTTCTGGGGTAAAATAAATGCTCATATTATAAAGACATGGCGGGGGGAATGTAATTTAATGCAGTGCTTCTTGTACAATCTGAGACCCACTTTAAATCGGATATCACTCAGCTAGTGGAGATCGCTGATTTTTAAAGAAAACAGACCTTAAACGCACCGGATTTTGCATTGGCATTCAATTCGCCGGAAGCGCTTAACCCAGGTTACTGGCAAATTAAAAGTCCTATTAGCATGCTACGGCATATACCCCATTATTTTTGGTGATGCAATACATATCGCCCATACATAATAACCAATTCTTGCTGATTGTGCGACATCTCCATCTCTATTGGAGGTGTCAGTGTCCAACGCGCAATGTATTGTGTGCAATATCATACGGGACGAATCTACACTTCGGATTTTAACCGGAAATAGTAAACCATCCTGGAACCTCGGGCATACTCTTTTTCAGTATTAGGGACATGCTAATTCTATTTTCAAATAGTATTTAGGAAGAATAGTATGCGAATTGGGGCGCAGCACAAGACTCTTGAACACCTTGATTAGTTGGATCAGCTGTGTTTGATTAGTTGACCTAGGACAGGGCTATTCAATTGGTGGCTCGCGGGCCGAACCCGGCCCCCGAGGCAATTTGTTCTGGCCCTCCAAATAGTGTGACCAAGAAATAAAAATAAATTTAGCTCAGTAGCTATGAAGTGACATGCGTCTGTTCAATTCAGCATGAGCTGCAGAGGCTGCGCAGAGCGTGAGTCACCATAAGCGAGTGGTGCGGACAGCCGAAAACATTTAGATATGTTTAGTAGAAAATGCCTTTTGTACAATGCACTGCAATCATTGATAGAGGTGCAACGATTGGCTGATTTCACCATTAACTGCGCTTTAATTCGTCACAGTTAATTAATCGTAAAGGCTTCTCATTTCGGTTGCACAGAAATTTTATGACAAGTTGCCAACTGTGCGCTAGTTTAAAGTTCTAAGTATGTACACCGAGGCTTCTACACACACTCACCGGATTAACTATAGCAGCGGCCGTTCCCATATCACGTCTTTTCCACTTGCAAGTTTGTTATTTCTAATGTAAGAATGACAATATGCGCGCACAAGCAGAGCAACACACTTGCATCTGTCCGGGCGCACGCAGTAGAAAACATCTCACGGTGAGAGTTGTGCGTGGCTTTCAGTGCAATGTAAACAAAAGATAAGTTAGACGGATTATTATTAAAATGATTACATACGCATGAACCCAGATGATAACAACAGATAATCGAAATAGCTACTTTCCTAATATAAAGCCTGTTGTTCTAAATTACATTAGACGTGATAACCCTGAAAACATGATTATTCTTCCGACAATATCGTACAACCAAAATCAATAATGTTGCATCACTAATTGTTATGCTGTTCAAAACATAACATATGAATGTGTCTGAGTGTAGAAGAAGCCTACTTCAGCAATGCACGGCTTTTGTTGTGCGAAATACAACATTTTGAATGTTTGTAAACAACAACAAAAGTCAATTGGACAATGCATTTTTTTTAAAAATGCAATATATTAACATTTTAATGTAGAAAAAGCCAACCTGGGTTTCTTTGGGTGCTTTCACATCTGTAGTTCGCTTCATTTGGTCCGGACCAAGCGCAATAAATGATACATTCTTGCATTTTCTGCCGTCTTTGGGTCGTTTTCACACCACACTGCTGGCTTTGGTCCAAACCAGTTGAAACGAACCAAAATGCAGTCATCTGACAAAATCCACATCTCTCATTGGCCAGATGTTGTTGAACATATTTCCTAAACTGCTTATTGATTGGTCAGAATTCACGTGCGGGAAAATGCCAAAGAACTCTCGCAGGCGAACAAAACCTTTTACTCTGGAGGGACGACTGCGCTGGCTGATTGTATCCCTGCTTTAGACAAACTATACATTACGAAAATGAAGTGTTTAATGCATCGCTCGTCTCTTCAAGAGGAGGTGTGAATTAATTTAGCTAAACAGCGACATGCTCATCTTGCGGAAATATTACCAATGATCCATCAGGTAATGTTTCCTCTCTCTCTCTCTCTCTCTCTCTCTCTCTGTTGGTAAAGCGCTGTTAACAAATATTTTCCTCCATATCCCATAATGCACAGCGCATCGGCCTACGGCAGCTGAATTAGTCCAAAACGCGCAGTACTTTTTGCGGTTGGACCTGTTTTAGTACGGATCATATTCTCACCACAAACGAACCGCTCCAGGGTTCGTTTAAAAGCGTACCGAGACCACCTCTTCAAGCAGGTCTCGGTACGCTTATTTGGTCTGCTTTTGGTGCGCACTCGAGTACGATTGCTGCATTCTCACCTGCCCAAACGAACCACACCAAAAGTGAAAACGAACTCTAGAGCGATTCAATCGAACTAAATAAGGCAGGTGTGAAAGCACCCTTTCTGAGCACAAATACAGCATATGGGCTCTCATATGCTGTTGTGTCATCACTCATATAGCAAGTCATATCTCTCCGGCCCTTCGTTTGGGATGCTTTTCATGAACCGGCCCCCATGCCAAACTAATTGAATAGCCCTGGCCTAGGATATAGAACATTTAGTGCAACAATTACTACTGTAGCTTTTAAATGCTCATACAGTGCAATTCATGTGCATCATATACAGTGTTTGATTATAATGAAGATTCTGTTGTGACTCACAATAGTGTTGAATGTAGAGCCAATAATTGAATGTAGAGCCACAAGTTCACAAATTTGGTAGCGAAAAATGACCCGGACATCATCATTTACTGCACAGGTGTCAACGCCTGTTCCTAGAGGGCCGCAGCTCTGCACAGTTTAGTTTCATCCCTAATTAAACACACCTGATCAAAAGGGCTGAAGCAGGGTTGGAACTAAACTGCAGAGCTGCAGCCCTCCAGGAACAGGCTTTGACACCTGTGATCTACTGGATGTTTTAATGATGCTTGACTGGACTAGAAATTAAAATGGTGTTCTAGAATGTACTAAAACTTGTACATTAGGTTTCGTGCTTCATATGACGTGTTCGTGTAGATATAAACAGCTATTCATCCTACTAGTTTTCCCAAAAGTGTGCAAAATGATGATTTAAATTGGTCGTTTAGAAATGTTTTCACACTTGTAATAATGTCTTGTTTTAGAGGATCTTTAAAAGCTTATAAACTTGTAAAAATATTACTTTTTTATTCTTTTGGAATAGCAATTTACATCATTCCTATTTACAAAAACATTAAATCCTGTAAACTATCACCTTTTTTTGTAATAAATTCCTTTTATCTGATGTTTTTAAATAGCTAACATTCAAATGTGTTGATTGTGCCATAAGATGTGAATGAATCTTCAGTTTGGCAAGCACTTTCTCGCTCTTTCTCTTTCCAAAAGGCCACCTTTGTCCGGTTGTTGCTAGAGCGGATACGTTTGCGGCCGGAAGTTAACGAGAATTATTTCTATTATTTATTAAATTTCTCATTTGTTTTATTTTGTTAACGTCTAGCCCCAACCCAACCCTAAACCCAACCGTCACAGTAATATTAAATCAGTTGTTGTACCGAGTATTAGTTATGTTATCTATTAAATTACCCAATAAAATTTATTTTTTAACACCTACCCCCACCCCAACCCTAAACCCAACCCTCACAGTACTGTAAAAATATTAATTATTGTTATACAGTGTCATAAAAAATGCTGCTTTATTAATGTGCATAGCGCACTTCCGGCCGGCCGCATATCCGATCTAGACTTTACCCCTTTGTCCTCAAAGAAGTGGATTATGGGTAAAAAAAAACTAAGAGAAGGCATGAAAGAATTGACGGCAGTAATATGTAGATGCATTTCAGAACACCATGCTAAACGTCATCAAATTTCCAAAGATTGTCCATCCTTCAGTGCTTCATTCTGGATCTCTGAATGGCCTCCATTTTGGCTCAGCCACTCATTGATCTCATCGAGAAACTAGCAGCCATACTGGAGGCAATGTGTTTGAAGCGGTAGCCATTTTGGATCAGGCTGTGAAACGCAGAGATGGTTTTGCTCACCATGTTGGGCTGGTGAAGCTGATGTTGTAGACTTTTGCCCAGCGCGCAAACACTTGTTTCTCCGTGATGAATCGGTGGTGTGAGCCGCGGAGCCCCCTCTCGTTCTGGAGGTACGTCACGCACTCGTCTGGACCTCTGGGTTTGTAGTAGTGATATGGCATCCGCTTGGGTTGAGGACGTCTGCTTTAGGAAAATAAAGTATGAATGTATGTTAAAAGTGTGATATGTATTAGGGCTGCACAATGTTGGAAAATTCTAGCATTGCAATGTTTTTTAATTTTGCGATATACAGGGTGGGACATTTATATGGATTCACCTCAATAAAATGGGAATAAGTGGGGATATTACCGTCCTGTTTGTGGTAAATTAGTATATGTGAGGGGGCAAACTTTTCAAGATAGGTGGTGACCATGGTGGCCATTTTGAAGTCGGCCATCTTGGATCCATCTTTAGTTTTTTTCAATAGGAAGAGGGTCATGTGACACATCAAACTTATTGGGAATTTCACAAGAAAAACAATGGTGTACTTGGTTTTAACATAACGTTATTCGTTTATGAGTTATTTACAAGTTTCTGACCACTTATAAAATGTGTTCAATGTCCAACTCAACTTTAAATATTAAAAGATGAACGGATTCTTACCCACAATAGTTTGGTGGCACCATCCCATAAACCTTTATGTTGTCACACATCTCTATGGCGATCACCATGGTGAACCAGCCGGTGCTTAACCAGGACTGAGACTTTTTTCTGTGAAAATAGGAAAAGAAAAAAAAATGCTTCTAATAATAATTCACACACCGGCCACTTTATTAGGTACAGCTGACTAGTTCCGGGTTGGACTGAATTTTCCCTTCAGAACTGCCTTAACCCTTCGTGCCATAGATTCAACAAAATAATGGAAATATTCCTCAGGGATTTTGCTCAATATTGACATATTGAAATGATTTGTCGGCTGCACATCCATGATGCAAATCTCCCCTTCCCCCACATCCCAAAGGTGATCAATTGGATTGAGTTCTGGTGACTGTGGAGGCCATTTGAGTACAGTGAACTCATTGTCATGTTCAAGAATCCAGTCTGAGATGATTTGTGCTATATGACATGGCTCGTTGTCCTGCTAGAAGTAGCCATCAGAAGATGGGCACAGTTTCAGCGCTAGTAGTGTAGTGGTTAGTGCGTCGACACATGCACTCCGGTGATCACGGCGACTCGAGTCCTATGTCAAACCTTCCCCTCTCTCTAATCCCCATGTTTTCCTGTCAATTCTCTCTACTGTCCTATCGAATAAAGGTGAAAACCCCTAAAAATAGTTATAAAAAAAAGACGATGGGTACAGTGTGGTCATAATGATATGGACATTGTCAGCAGCAATACTCAGGTAGGCTGTGGCGCTGACATGATGCTCAATTGGTACTAATGGGCCCAAAGTGTGCCAAGAAAACATTCCCCACACCATTACACCACCACCACCAGCCTGAACTGTTGATACAAGGCAGGATGGATCCATGCTTTCATGTTGTTGATGCCAAATTCTGACCCGACCATCCGAATGTCACAGCAGAAATCGAGATTCATTAGACCAGGGAGCGTTTTTCTAATCTTCTATTGTACAATTTTGGTGAGCCTGCTGGACAGGTGTACCTAATAAAGTGGCCGGTGAGCGTATATGTGTATAAGGGTGTCTGTACATTTACTCAAGTGCCAAATTTGTATCAAATCAGTGCTAAAACGCCTAAAACACACAATCAAACATGCTCTGGTGAGTTCACCTGTCTCTGCCGGTCTCCTTCTGGAAAAGCGCATCAAACTTCTGCATTTTGCTGGGTGAGATGAAGAAGAAGGACAGGTTTCTGTAGGTCATGCTGACTCTCTGGATGAGGTGGTACAGCGTTCCCTTTGCTTCCCGGCTGATCTTGGAGGACGGGCCCCAGAAAATGATGATGGGGTTTTCAGAGCGGTTGAGAAACTCTGCCGGCTTGCGGACCACGCTGAAGACGCTGGAGTGAGCCACGACGCGAACAGTGGTCCGGTTGCCCACATCTGACTGGTGTCCGGAGGTGGGAGCATTGTTCATGCGGAAAACACACTGCGTTCTGTCGATCTCCTCGCCTGCCTGAGAGCCCAACACGTGACTGGAGCTGGTCACTAATGCGAGTGATGGCAGTGCAGGTTCAGGCTCTGAAACACAAGATTCAGAAGATACAGAAAATCATAACATACAGTGGAAGACAAATTAATTAGAATTTTTCTATTATTTCCCAAATGATGTTTAACAAAGCAAGACATTTTTCACAGTATTTTCTTTTTTTTTTTCTTCTGGAGAAAGTCTGATTTGTTTTATTTCAGCTACAATAAAAGCGGTTTTTAATTTTTTACAAACCTTTCACGGTCAAAATGATTAGCCCCCTTAAGCAATATTTTTATTTAGTCTACAGAACAAACCACCGATATACAGGGTGGGCCGTTTATATGGATACACCTCAATAAAATGGGAATGATTGGTGATAATAACGTCCAGTTTGTGGTACATTAGTATATGTGAGGGGGCAAACTTTTCAAGATGGGTGGTGGCCATTTTGAAGTCGGCCATCTTGGATCCATCTTTTGTTTGATTCAATAGGAAGAGGGTCATGTGACCTATCAAACTGATTGGGAATTTCACAAGAAAAACAACGGTGTGCTTGGGTTTAACGCAACTTTATTCGTTCATGAGTTATTTACAAGTTTCTGACCACTTATAAAATGTGTTCAATGTGCTGCCCATTGTGTTGGATTGTCAATGCAACCTTCTTCTCCCACTCTTCACACACTGATAGCAACATCGCAGGAGAAATGCCAGCACAGGCTTCCAGTATCCGTAGTTTCAGGTGCTGCACATCTTGTATCTTCATACCAGATCAGATCAGATCAGGGGCAGATCAGGAGACCTTGGGGACCATTAAACCTGCCCACGACAACCAATCCACTTTTCAGGAAACTGTTCATCTAGGGCCCCGTTTACACTAGTGCGTTTTAGTTTTAAAACAGCGTTTTAGATTAAAAACGATCTGCGTCCACACTAGCGTTTTACCTAGCGTCTCTGAACATATCTCTGTCTACTCTACGCCACCAAAAACGTATATAACGTGACCATTCGCGCACTCTGGGCATGGGCGTTCTAGTTTAAACAGGAAGCATGCGTCTCGCTCGGCATTTGATTATTGTTAGTCAACAAACGCCGGTTGAACATTAAACGCGATGGCAAAGAAAGCAAGAGAGGTATTTTTGTGGACAGACGACGAGGTCGAGTTGTTACTAAACGTAACAAATGAATAACTGCACAATGGCGCCTAAAACAAACAATAGTGCAAACAACCCTCCCATTTCTGTGCCCATGTTGTTGTTTACAGTGAAGGCTGGTCTGCTGTCTTCCAATAGCGTTAAAGCCATGTGTTATAGTCATGTGATAGCGGCTTGACGAATAAGGTAAGGATACAGTGACGAAGGCAAAGACACAAAAGCCCCAATCAGCTAGCGAATCTCAGCAGTCCCGCCTCCGTTTTCAGATGTCTCAGTTTTTCCTCATCCACACTAAGACGGAGCAGCAGCGTTTCAGAATGAAAACGGCCTCTCCAGCGTTTTCAAAACGCTTTGTTTTTGGCGCTCGAGAATTCCGGCGTAGTGTGGACGGATGGCGTAACCGTAGCAAAACTTATGCGTTTTAAAACGAATTAGTGTAAACGGGGCCTAGGAATGCTCGGACATGACACCCATAATGTAATGGTGATCTTGCTGGAAAAACTCAGGAAACATGCCAGCTTCAGTGCATAAAGAGGGAGACACATCATCAAATATCCAGTGGCCTTGTGGTTTCCATTGATGAAGGATGTCCCCACTATCTTTGTTGTCTATGAAGCATTTTAGATTTTTTAAGTTACAATAATGTATAAAGCTATGTAGTGTTAACAGACCTCTTGAGTTGTTTTTTCGAGTGTAGGAACTGCATCACAATATGAAAAAAAATGGTCACAGACTTTAGACGGCACTTGGGAACCGTTTGACGAAGTAAAATTTCACAGGAAGTCTGATCTTTTTGTTTTCAAGCATACATTTAAAAAAACAAATACCAAAAATTAGTAGTGTAAACCGCGTGATGGTCACCTTGTTGCCGTAAACAGGAAGGTATCCGTCTTTTCCAGCCCATTTCTTGAGGTTGGTGGTTTTGAGCGTGTGGTGGATTTGACGGAAGTTGCTTGTCTTGAAGGATCTGGAAAGATCAGCTGAGCTGCTGGAGCTGTAGAGGATGAGGAGCGTCGTGATGAGGAAAACCGCTCCGTAAATCACCATCCGCTGCCCCTGCTGCCATTGCTCAAAACACACACACAAACACACAATTAGGTGTAATATTGGAAAAGTCTGATATTGGGATATTTATTTTTCTGATAAATATTGTGATATGAATAGTTTCACACGATAGTTTGAATAGCTAATAATTTGACGGTCACGGTTTTCCGGGGAGGCTAACAGTATTTAGCTACAAAAATTGAACAATCACAATGCATTACATGCTTTTCTTACTTTGCTTTGTCTTGTTTATAGTACAAATATTTAAAAAAAATCTTAGATCACGTAAAAATATTGCTTTGTTTTCAACTTGAGAAGAAATTAAGTCAAAATTAAGAGTTTTTCCTTAAAACAAACAATATTATCTACCAGTGGGGTAAGTTAAATAATGTTGTTTTCACTTTGAGATAGATATTTGGACTCAAATATCAAATGACATGAGTGTAGTTAATTTAAAATGTACTGAAAGTTAATTCTACTCATTTGAAGAGAGTTTTGAACTTAGTGTTGAAGGTGATGAGTTAATTTAATACCTCATTACTTCAACTGAAATGGAGTAAGTTCACAGTACTCATATAGATTAGTTAAACTCAAATGGTTTGCAGCAATTGGTTTCCTCAAATGCTTTGAGTTGCCTAAACTTATTGGATTTTACAGTACTCAGTTGGTTTGAGTTCTCTTTATTTCTTTGGTTTTACTGCGCTCATATTGCTCCGTTTACTCAAATGGATTAAGTTCACAGTACTCATTAGGATTAGTTTTTGAACTTGAATGGTTTGTTGCAATAATCAGTTTCTTCAAATAGATGTTAAACAGAAATTGGGGGGGAAAATAATTCAGGCGGGCTAATAACCCTGCTAAAAAAATCCAGCTTAAACCAGCCTAGGCTGGTTGGCTGGTGTTAGCTGGTTGACCAGCCTGGTTTTAGAGGGGTTTTGGCCATTTCCAGGCTGGTTTCCAGCAATTTCCAGCCTGGTCTTAGCTGGTCAGGCTGGAAAATGACCAGCTAAAACCAGCCTGGTTTAAGATGGACATAGGATCCTTGACCAGCCTGGTTTAAGCTGGACATAGCTGGTTTTGGCTAGGCTCCCAGCCTGGCTAGGCTGGTCAAGCTGGTTTTAGCTGGTCATCTCCCAGCCTGACCAGCTCAGACCAGGCTGGAAATGGCCAAAACTCCTCTAAAACCAGCCAACCAGCCTAGGCTGGTTTAAGCAGTTTTTTTTCAGTGGGGAATTCTGACTTCAATTGTCTGTATGTATGTATGTATGTATGTATGTATGTATGCATGTTTATATATATATACATGTATGTATGTATGTATGTATGTATGTATGTATGTATGTATGTATGTGTGTGTGTGTATATATATAGAGAATATATATATAAGAATAACTTACACGTATATACAGGTTTTCTACTCACTTTATCTACGAGCTGCAGTGTCATTCTCCTGCCACCCTTCTATCAGGTTTCAGTTCTCATGCCTGGAGAGAGAGATTGAGAGAGAGAGTGAAACTTGAGCATTTTCAGTGCTATCATCAAGCCTCCGACACAGACACACATGCACACGCAGAGCCAAACCTGTGTGTAAATAACATGTCAATTCAATTAATATTATACTACGAAATTACATGCATTTACTTTCTTCCCTTTATAGGGTTTGCAATGGAAGTAACAAATTATTCATTCATTCATTCATTCATTATCTTGTCGGCTTAGTCCCTTTATTAATCCGGGGTCGCCACAGTGGAATGAACCGCCAACTTATCTAGCAAGTTTTTAAGCAGCAGATGCCCTTCCAGCCACAACCCATCTCTGGGAAACATACACACACACACACTCATACACTACGGACAATTACTAGCCCTCCCAATTCACCTGTACCGCATGTCTTTGGACTGTGGGGGAAACCGGAGCACCCGGAGGAAACCCACGCGAACATGGGGAGAACATGCAAACTCCAGTAACAAATTAACTACTTTTTTTTTTTAATTTAAATTTAGGAATTAACTAAAAAAAATATTTAAAAGTACCAAAAAAAGTGAAGGAATCACTTCAGTTCTCAGCCCCAGAAATGTAACAAACACAAGAAGTGAGTACATTTAAATCATTTTTCCCCTTCTGAATCAATAAAGAAAGCTGGAAGCAATAAAACATGTCTTCTGGAAAAGAAGATTTAGCTAAAACAACTAACAAAAACAGTAGCTAACTTTAAAGAAGTACTAAATAACCTATCCAGGAGGCTGCTTCATAAAAGTCGTAAAGGAAAGTGGAAATTAAAGTCAAAAACCTGACTGCAATGAGCTGAAATACTAAACGTCCACACTTACTGGTTGCATAACAGCAAGTTGCAGATCATTGCATCCAACTAATCTGAGTTGAAATAATGTAGATAACTGCTCGTGCACGTTACTGTTGTGAAAACTTAAAGGTCGAGCATAGATGCATCGATTATGTTGTGTGCTACCTTGGCAACAACGATGAAAGAAAGATTTCTGAAATTAGACACAGCTATGATCACAGCGAGTGAGGAGTGTTTGATTTTTGAGTTCAAACATATAAAAACTACGGGTCGCAACAAAGCAAGAGAGAAGGCTGACGGGAAATTGCAGATTTTAAAACATAGGCCATTATTTAGGTCTAATAATAATAATATTTTATATATTTTATAATAATATATTATTATAAAAAAAAAAAAAAAAAAAAAATATATATATATATATATATATATATATATATATATATATATATATATATAATTGTTATTATAATATTTTATTATAATAATAAAATAGGAATATTTTAAGTATTTAATATTAATATATTTTAGAATAATATATATATATAATATATATAATATATTAATTATTATTATATTATTTTATAATAATAATACTAAAATAATATTCTAAATATTTAAAAATACATTGAAACTGTGCTTCCACACGGGTGCGAGAGATAGAGAGAGAGAGAGAGAGAATGCGCACTTACTGCCAATTGTTGCATGCAAGGAAAACATTTTCATGCATTTCAGCCTCACTTTTACATTCAAAATGTGCTTAACATGAGCACATTGAGTTTAAAATAATGCTTACAAAGAGCCGTGCACACACAAGCTGCAAGTGGCAGGACTTTTAATTTGCTCCCGAAAATGCTGCAAATTGCTGCTTTCCCTTTGACACTTGTGTGTCCGACAGCCCATGGGAAAATATCCTTAAATTAAAGTGAGGCTACTGCTCAGCCCGGACACGGATTATTCCACTCCTGGTTTGCAGCTTTAAAGTCATTCTTTAAGAAATGTAGCCTACTTCTTTTTATCAGTCAGTGCTTTCTTAATATTATTTTCTTTATATTATTTTTTGTAATTTATATTATTGTGAAGTGTATATATAAATATATGTATATACAGCTGAAGTCAAAATTATTAGCGCCCCTTGGAATTTTTTATTTTTTTTTTATATTTCCCAATTGATGTTTAACAGAGCAAGGAAATTTTCATGAGTATGTCTCATAATATTTTTTACTTCTGGAGAAAGTCTTATTTGTTTTATTTTGGCTAGAATAAAAGCAGTTTTAAATTTTTTAAGCACCATTTTAAGGTCAAAATTATTAGCTCCTTTAAGCTCTATATTTTTTCCGATAGTCTACAAAACAAACCACTGTTATACAATAACTTGCCTAATTACCCTAACCTGCCTTGTTAACCTACCTAACCTAGTGAAGCCTTTAAATGTCACTTTAAGCTGTATAGAAGTGTCTTGAAAAATATCTAGTCATATATTATGTACTGTCATCATGGCAAAGACAAAATAAATCAGTCATTAGAAATGAGTTATTAAAATTATTATGTTTAGAAATGTGTATATATATATATATATATATTATATATATAATATATATATATATATATATATATGTAACACATGCATGGCATCACCCATTTCCTGCGATAAAAGCCAGAATTAAAGATAAGTTATGGAGATATGAGACCAAATGCAAATAAAAAACAGCTTGTCGATGAGAACAGCGGAAAATACACACGAAAAAGAGCATAAACACACACCTGTGACATTACAGTATCCTACAGTAAACAGGACAGGTGTAAAACATTCAAGCATGACACCTGTTCATTTCAATATCAATGTCAATACAAAACCAGTCATTGGCATAAAGACCAATATTTGGATATTGACATATATACGTCATCTTAAAGCTATAATAAACACACTTTACATTGATTGTTTGTTAATAGGATAATGTTTGGAACCTGATAGTTAAAAAAAAATCTAAATATTGAGAAAAATGCCTTTTAAGTCCAAATTATAGTGGTTGTAAAGTCTGTTTTATCAGATTTAACTTTAATTACATACAAAACGTTAATTTATGATTACTTTATACCTTATATCTTGGAGACCTTTATTAATTTTTTTTTTACTCTTTCTAGATTATGTTTCTGTATTGTATATCTAATGTAAAAAGCTTTGTGTACCATATACCTATAAGTAAATGTGGAAATGAATGCAATAAAGATACAAATAAATAAATCAATACATTTTTAATATACAGATGAAGTCAGAATTATTTGCCCTCTTTGAATATTTTTTTCTTTTTCAAATATTTCCCAAATGATGTTTAACAGAGCAAGGATATTTTCACAGTATGTCTGATAATATTTTTTCTTCTGGAAAAAGTCTTATTTTTTTTATTTTCGGCTAGAATAAAATCACTTTTTAATTTTTTAAACACCATTTTAAGGACAAAATTATTAGTCTCTTTAAGCTATTTATTTTTTTGATAGTCTACAAAACAAATCATCATTATACAATAACTTGCCTAACTACCCTAACCTGCCTACTTAACCTACTTAACCTAGTTAAGCCTTTAAATGTCACTTTAAGCTGTATAGAAGTGTCTTGAAAAATATCTAGTCAAATATTATTTACTGTCATCATGGCAAAGATAAAATAAATCAGTTAGATTAGAGATAGTCATTAAAACTATTATGATTAGAAATGTGATGAGAAAATCTTCTCTCCGTTAATCAGAAATTAGGGAAAAAAACATTCAGGGGGGCTAATAATTCTGACTTCAACTGTATATACAAGCATGACACCTGTTCATTTCAATATCAGTGTCAATACAAAACCATTATTTAGTCATTTAGTCATTAGTCATTAGCATAAAGACTGGAATTTGGAAACAATAAACGTCATCTTAAAGCTAAAATAAACACATTTGGCATTGATATTTGTTAATAGAAAAATGTTTGAAATCTGACGTGAAAAATCTAAGTATTATAACAATTGAAAAGTGATAATTATTTTCAGATTTTACTTTGATTATATACAAGAAGTTACTTCAGGATTATGTTAGTTTATTAACATTTTTCATAATATCTGGATTCTAAGTCCTGAATTTTATTAATTTCTTCTAATCTTTCTGGTTTGTCATGTTTAATTATTTTGTATATCCAATGTAAAGAGCTTTACATGTCATATATCTGAAAGTAAATGTGGAAATAAATGCAACAAGCAACAAAAATACCACAAAAATCATTTATTTTTTGTCCAAATTAGGTTCTTAGAGATGGATACAAATAAAAAAATAAGCACTTTTTCTATAGACATATAAAATGTAGTAATTTATATTATACAGTGCTCAGCATATATAAGTACACCACTCACAAATCTCTCTTTTAAATTCATATTTTTAATAGGAAGCTATATGCAATATTATATTTGTGCATATACATTAGATTAGTCAATACTGAAGCAAATCTGGAGCTAATCTTACACAATAACTTGCGATAACACTGTCTAAAACCTAGTACACTCAAAATTATATGTTATAGAAAAATATTTAATACAATTTTTAAAAATGAGGAAAAATCAACATTTTTTTTTATTTAGTTGACATTTTGTTGCCATATTTTGCTTTTAATTGTATTGTCTTTTAATTTCCAAAATATGTTTGGTGACAAAAAATATTATTTTAAGAAATATATTTGTTTAATAAATCTGCTTTGTTTAAATGCACTAAAATAAATTCACTGAGATACTGATAAAAATAATCATTTTCAATATGGAGTGTACTCAATTATGCTGTGCATTGTATAAACATCTATCTATCTATCTATCTATCTATCTATCTATCTATCTATCTATCTATCTATCTATCCATCTATCCATCCATCCATCCATCCATCCATCCATCTATCTATCTATCTATCTATCTATCTATCTCCCTCTCTCTCTCTCTCTCTCTCTCTCTCTCTCTCTCTCTCTCTCTCTATATATATATATATATATATATATATATATATATATATATATATATATATATACATACAGAGTATATATACAGTATCACATATTCATGTGTATGTGATGTTTTATCTTATTATTTATTCACTTATTTACAGCATAATTGTTTTCAGAACTAGAATAGTGTTTGTGTATATGTATCTATATTATTTATATTGTTTTAAAGAGATATTATTTTCTGTCTGACCTAAAATGAACCTTACAAAGCAAAAAGTTTTGATATATTTACAGTTGAAAATGATATATATATATATATATATATATATATATATATATATATATATATATATATATATATATATATATATATATATATATAAACTAATATTTTCTCGTCTATTCCTACAAATATACTCATATCATGTCCAGGGTCACATATATGGTAAAAGATAAGTAATATGCGTAACGTACATGCTCTTTCAGAAAAATCCAGTCAGACTGAAGGGAGTCCTGCTAAGTATAACGTTATTAAACCTGTCTTTCGTAAGTCAGTTTCATAACGGCCTCATTACAACCTACAAAGGCTATTTAGCAGATATCAAGCCATATATGAACAGAAATACAGTTTTACCTGTCAAAATCCATCCAACACGCAGACATGATGTATATAATGCTGATGCTGAGGCTCTGCTTGATCGTCAAAGCGCGTCTGATATTGCGGGAGAAGCGATTGTTGAAGCTAGTCAGTCGACGTCGGATGAGCGTTTTTCTTACCGTTGCGTCAGGGGTTTATTGTGGATGTTGTTGTATCCGCGCAGCATTATTATCATCACCATCATCATCACAACCATAATCATCACTATCAGTCAGTTCTTCAGCCGCCTCATAATAATCATCACCGCCGGAGGAGAGTCTGCGCATGCGCCGCAAACCATTCTGAAGATGCGACGCGCCCACGGTAGAAAGCTCATGATGTCAGGAGCAAGTCGACCAATAGGAACGACGCGAGGAGAAAAAGATGATGCTCTGTTGATTAACCATGTCGCGATGTCTTACTTTAAATATAAAAATACATTGGTTATTTAATAAACTTTAACATGGTTATTCTATTTTTATAGACTATTTTGATGGATGTAAATAATAACAATAGTCCTAACCTATTTCCTGCATTACATTTTTAATTTCCATAGCATCCAAGAATGCAAACATGTTCACATATTGATAAATAATCTTATGACAGCCGTTTTAACATTAAGATATGACTGAATTTCCTCGTGTTAAAGTGACAAAATAGTTTAATAAGCAGGAAACATTCATGGGCTAGTGACATCGGCACATTGAAATGGCTGGAATTTAACTATCAGAAATATTAGTATTATTTTTAGTATATAGTACCACTAATATTTATACATTTCGTAGATTATTAAATTGCAGTTTTGTTTTATTATGATTACTTTAAGATTTATGTATTGATCATTTATTTATGTATGTGTATTGACACACACACACACACACACACACACACACACACACACACACACAATATTAGTTTTATTTTATTATAATTAATTTAATAATTATATATTATTTATATGTCCACATATATTTACACATATAGTTTATTTTGAAATGGAAAAAAACTTCTGATTTTTTTATTGTTATTTTTGTTAATTCCTATGTTGATAATTTTATTTGGTACTATGTGTTATCAATATTTTTTAAACCTTTAACATATCTGAATCACATCCTTTTGTATGTGTATGTGCATTAATTTCTTCTTTTTATATAACAATAAATTAATTTGTTAGATATATAAAATTTAAATAACACATTTAAATTAAATATCCATATAACATTTTATAAAACATACACTCAACGGCCACTTTATTAGGTACACCTTACTAGTACCAGGTTGGACCCATTTTGCCTTCAGAACTACCTTAATCCTTCATAGCATAGATTCAACAAGATGCTGAAAATATTTCTAAGAGATTTTGCTCCATATAGACATGATAGCATCATGCAGTTGCTGCAGATTTGTGCTCAATTGGAATGCAATCTGGTGATGGTGGAGGCCATTCGAGTACAGTGAACTCATTGTCATGTTCAAGAAACCAGCAACAATACTCAGGTAGGCTGTGGCATTGACACAATTGGTATATATATAATTGGTACCCAATTGGTATGTATATATATATATATATATATATATATATATATATATATATATATATATATATAATATATATATATATATATATAGTGCAAAAAACACATTCAACCACAATCATTTTGTATGTTTAAGTTTAATAAATGCAAAATATAAATTTGACATGTTTATCAACAAAGACCTGAACTTAAGCCTCATTCATCAAGGACCAAAAACATAAATAAAAATGTAAATTATCACAGAATTGCAGTTCAATCTTCAGATGAATCACTTTTAAAGGGCTAAACTGAACACACGGTACCATAAGAGTCTCATACATTTAAAACACACTCAAAATACTCTCTGAAGACTATCTGATGATTTATAGATGTTCATTATTCATATTAGGCTGTGCGTTAAAAAGTACAAAAAGACGACAGTGTGAAATACAGCAAATGAACACAGTAAATCTTCTGACATTAATTCACAATGTGACATTATTAGTGGTGTAACGAATTGCAAATCTCACAGTTCGGATCATTTTTCGGATCAGTCAAAAAAAGAAAGAGACAAATGTAATTTGCTTTCCATTTTTGACATAAACAGCACTGCAAGAAACTCAGAAGCTGTAACTTTACTAAAGATAAAATGAAAAAATAATCAGCTGAATAAAATATAAATAGTAAAATATTGAGTGCTGTGAACAACTCACTGGTACTGTTGCTGATAACGCTAAATGTAGAAATCTAACATTATACTTTGTAAAACCAATATTTATTTTTAGCCTCATTTTCAATAAATAATTAAGTTATTCACTCATAAAACTTCATGTTTCATTGCTAGATGGATCACGTGTGAAGAATTATTCAGTGGCATATTTTTAATGGCTGGTAAATAATTGCTGCCTACAACTTTCACTTGTGAGAGTCAAGTTAAATGCACATGATGGTGATTTTAATCTTTATCAGTGGTTTTATCTAAACTGTTATTCCAGTACTTGTGTTATTTGACTGTATGTAACTTCATAACTAACTCAAAAGACTAAAGACTCGATCTCTTTCTTGATCTTTTGCGTTTTTTAAACCTGGATTTGAGCGCAGCGATTCGAAGTATTTATAAACATATGCAAATCCAATAGTATCTGGATGCAGCCTTTATGATGCAAGCTGAGATTGCATCACTCAGCGATGCAATGTCAGACACAATGCACTCAATGGAGTGAATGACGTCACTGTGACGGGTGGGGTTAGGTGAGTGCATTAAAAAGCATTGGATGCAGCTCAGATTGCACTGCACCGAGTCTGCATCCAGACCCCTCTCTGCAAATCACCATCATTTATAATGTTGCGTGGGTGTTAAGATCCCGATCTCTTAATGATTAATCATGCAGCTGCATTAATGCAGACTAAACAAGTAGTGACAGAAAACACCTTTAATAACCTAAGAAACCCACCACATCCCTAAAAACCCACTATGACTTCTTCCATCATCATTATATTCAACAGGAAAGCCTAAATGCTTTCATACATGTGATTTGAATGGCGTGAGAGGTGATCTCTCTGAGATTGTCACAAATTTAGGAGTAATCTACAAGTAAAAACCAAAAATTATAATCCGCGGGTCACATGTGTTCCCGAACCATGGGTTGTGATCATAGACTTTAAAATATATGGACGTAGTATCCGTGACGTCACCCATAGGTTTCTAAAGAGCGCAAAAGAAGCCACAAGTAGGCGCGGCCAACCGTCGCCATTTTGGTCAAGCGTCATCACACCCACGGCGGGATACCAAACAAGGGCAAAGAGGCGGAGAGTGAGCGGAGCTACAGACACCTGCTAGCATTTAGCTTGGACCTGGTTCAGACACACTTTACTTTGGGAGAAATGCTTAATACTTTATCACCTGTGACTCGTTTGTATTCTGACCACTTGTGCTTGGCTGTACACTATATCAATAAAGTGTTTAGACTTGTAAAAACACTGCTGTAATACATTGAGCCACTAAACATTGTTCTTATGACGTTTTCAACAGGAGGAAAACGCAAATTACTTCCAAACACTTCAGATATAGTCTGTGTTAGTTAATGTAAGACTATTGATGAAATCCAGCATAACACCGTATGACAACGCCTCAGATGACTGATCTACAGCCCACAGCTAATCAATCTGACAGATTCTGGAGTGCATTACAGCTCTAAATATAATTATAAACGATAAATGATCTTAAATAAAACAAATACATGTATAGAGATGGTATATAAGTATATAACTTTACTCACATGGGAAACGGAGGCCACGTGAATGGTTTGTGAGCACAATTAAGTTCACTCAGCATGCCATGCCATTTAATAATTGTAGGAAACAAGTCCAAAAGGCAGTTGAGTGTGTAAAGCCACATAAAACAACACAGAAATACAATGAATATGCCGAGTTCAGTGGCCAATTTGCAGGATTCAGCTGAAGTGACGTGACGGCGACCAACGAGAACTAGCTGTCACTCAAGTGACCACGCCCTTAATTATGCAAACTTAATATAACTTAATATAAAGGAAACGGATGAGTTATAAAAAAATTCACCCCCCTCACAGTTGTCATGAAGGGTAATATTAGCTGTATTAACCTAAATCTTTTTTTGTACCAGGCTGTAAACACCTTTTTTTCTGCTGTAAAGTTGGCCATTGTAACAGTGGGCTCAATTGAAATTTGCTCTGTTTTGGAGCCAGGAGCGGCCACGACTAGCGGAATTTCAGATGAATTGCAGTTTTAGTTACTTCCGTATTGGCTTCCTGAGGGAGAGCGGGAGGTTGCCGCTTGGTTGTAATCCATTACACCACCTAATCATTATACATTAGTTGTATTCTCTCAAGTGAAAACAAGAACACACACGCATGCAATGTCTGAAAACTGAAAATAACACAATTAGTTCCTGATGTAACAGTTTACATCTTGTGATCAATACAAAAATAAACGTATAGAGTCGTAAAAGTCACTCTTTTTCAAATCTTTACGTAAAAAAAAAAAAACAGAGAAATACTCCTGGGTTAGTTTGAATACTCGCTGCAAATGCTTAAACAGTGGAAATAATTAGCAGACAATATTTCTGCACATGCTGTTGTCAAAATGGCTGTACGTTCTCTATAAATACACACAACATAACTAAACAAAGATTAAAAAGGGCAACGACGGCAAGAGCTCAAGTCAATCTTTTCTAGGGAAAAAAAATTGTTGTTGCGTTGGGCTTCAAACTACATATTTACTGATAAATTTAATAGGAAACCCCACAATAAAAACCATTGATATTCTGTTATTTAGTACTAATAGGTTTGCAGTATAATTAAAATTGTCCATCATCACAAAGATTCAAAACGTATTGAGCAATCATATGATAAATATTATGATTTGTGACATAATTAAAAATGATAATACGATATTAATTGTCATATTTACAGAGCTAAGATCACAGTGCTTATTTACTCGGTAATGTTGGTTCGTTTATAAATGTATATTTTACTTTAAATATTAGTTGCATTATTAGTACTTTGTTTTTTTATTTTAAATACATATAAACATTTTAATAAATTATAATATATTCTTTCTGTTTTATCTCTAAAGTGTGTATACAGTGCTCAGCATAAATGAGCATAGATATATACATTAGATGTCGCCTACCCTGTTGTTGTCTATTGGACGGAATGCGTCAATAGAGCCGCCATTTTAGTACAGGGTAGCAGCTCCTTTGAAATGAATGCGGGACCAAGCTGCAGTGGAGGACTGTGGCCATCCAAAGCCAGAGATATACACATATACACACATATCTGTGATCGGGAGTTTTCCTGGATGTCAGTATGCAATTATTTTTTCTACACTTTCTCTATCACTTTTCTACATTGATGTATCAGTGATCGCACAGGCATTCCTGAAAAACAGCTTGTGTTTGTGTGTATGGAAATGTACTATCCACCCTCCATGTTAAATTAGATCTAATCCGTGTCCTGATACACCCCTCCTCTACTGCTTTCACTTCCCATTCTGATGGAGGGAGCGATTCGTTTGTGGATGAATCTCCGTTATGAACGACTCCTTCATTAGCCGACAATAATAAAAGTTTCTGGCAGCGCAGCATCTCGTTGTCATATTTCTTTTGCATTGTTTGCTGATTTTATTCAACAAAACTAGCATAAGCCGAGTGTTCAGTGTGAGTTGGTGGTGCTGCTTGCCTTATGCTGAATGCAGCAAGCGACTGTTATCATCAATAACGTTACCTGTGTAGCACAAAAGTTCATGACAAACAAAAACGTAAAAAACGTAATATTACCTATGAAATGTTCTGCCTTTGTGCTTTGTTTTCTTTGTTTGCTCATTACTACACCCGTCTTGACTAGTCTTAACACTGTCTTGACTAGTGCGGCTGAACGACACTTTTCCTGGGAGCACTGTACAAATATGGCAGCACAATTGACGCATGCTCAGGTTCCCTATGCGATATCTAGTGTATATATCTATGATAAATAAGTACACCCCATTTTGAAATTGAATATTTTTATGAATTTCTCAGCGAATATAGGTCAGATATTTTGGTGCATTTGAACAAAACAGATTTATTAAACATACTTATATATTAAAATAATATTTTAGTCACCGGTCAGCTATAGAAATAGGAAAATAATACATTTAAATTAATGTGAAATATTGCAAAACAATAAAAGCTAAATTTCAATAAAATTTTGTATACACTTTTTGCATCTCTTGATTTTTGCACTTTTTAAAAAAAAAATTGTATTTAATATTTCCCCTAACATATACAGTTAAAAAAATAGTTAATTTTTTTTCTGGTGCTCCTAATTTTTTTCTGATGCTCCTTAGTTTTTTTCTGGTGCTCCTACATTTTTTTCTGGTGCTTCTATTTTTTTTTTGGTGCTCCTACACTTTTTCTGATGCTCCTAAGTTTTTTTTCTGGTGCTCTTAATTTTATTTCTGGTGATCCAAAATTTTTTTTCTGGTGCTCCTAAATTGTTTTTGGTGCTCCTACACTTTTTCTGATGCTCCTAAGTTTTTTTCTGGTGCTCTTAAATTTTTTTCTGGTGATCCAAAATTTTTTTCTGGTGCTCCTAAATTGTTTTTGGTGCTCCTACACTTTTTTCCGATGCTCCTAAGTTTTTTCTGATGCTCCTAAGTTTTTTCTGATGCTCCTAAGTTTTTTCTGATGCTCCTAAGTTTTTTCTGATGCTCCTAAGTTTTTTTTTTTTTTCTTGTGTGTGTTCCTATTTTTTTTCTGGTGCTCCTAAATTGTTTTTGGTGCTCCTACACCTTTTCTGATGCTTCTAAATTTTTGAAGTTGGGAAGTTGGGAGCACCAGTGCTACCAAGTAAAAAAGTTCATTTCGAGCTCTGCCACACAGAATCTATTGGCCCAATTCAGCACGATTGTCTAACCAGCGGTGTACATACAATATACAAAAGGAACATAACCATTTTTTTAAAACGTCTGATGGTAAATCATACTAAACGTTTATTATTTTAGGTCCGTTAGGATTACCTACATGATTTACATTTGCTAAATGCCAGAATAATAAGATTTTTTTTTTTTTGAGAATGTTTTATTAATTTCTAGGCAGTCAAAAGTTTACATGCATTTCCTTGGTATTTTTTAGCTTTGCTTTTAAACTGTATAACTTTGGTCAAATGTTTTGGATATCCTTTCACAAACTTCTCAAAATAGTTTGAAGGAATTTTGGCCCATTCCTCCTGACAGAACTGGTGTAACAGAGTCAGATTTGTAGGCTGTCTTGCTCGCACAAGCTTTTTCAACTTTGTGATCTCACTAGCCCGGGTGTATTTTTTTTGTAGTCCTCAAATTCATTCGCTGTAGGCTTTACTAAGCTAACTCTGTAAAAGCTAATATCTCCCTTTGCATTGAACTTCGAGCGTCTTACATTCAGAGATGTTGTTTACGTTCACACAGCTACATTACACATTAAAACATGATATCATGGTGGACCACCGCTTTTAAAAGTCTGTTGTGGAAAGTGAAATATCCTGTTTAGCTGGTTAACTGAGCAGATCAGTACAGTAGTCTGTTAGTGGTAGTAGTCTAGATAAAACAGATCATATCTTTGCATGCAAGGATTAAAACATGATTCTGCATTTGATCACCATTGCTGTGAATGAACAGTGAAGACTATTATTCATGGCTGATATGAGAGGTATCATGTGAGGCAGTTTAGTGGTTGAACATGAAAAGCGAAAGTAAAATTGACAAAAAACTAACGTAGAAAAGACAAATCTTTGACACGTTCAGCTACACAATAAAACACAATAAAGCATTCCTAAAGAGGCTTGTTATGAAGAATAATACGCAGGATTAAAGAGAAAGTTCAAGCAGACATGAATATACAGTTGAAGTCAGAATTATTAGCCCCCCTTTAATTTTTTTTATCAAATATTTCCCAAATAATGTTTAGCAGAGCAAGGAAATTTTCACAGTATGTCTGATAATATTTTTTTTTCTGGAGAAAGTCTTATTTGTTTTATTTCGACTAGAATAAAAGCAGTTTTAAATTTTTCTTAAACCATTTTAAGGTCAAAATGATTAGCCCCCTTTAAGCTATATTTTTTTCGATAGTCTACAGAACAAACTATCGTTATACAATAACTTGCCTAATTACCCTAACCTACTTAGTTAACCTAACTAACCTAGTTAAGCCTTTAAATGTATAGAAGTTTCTTGAAAAATATCTAGTACTGTCATCATGGCAAAGATAAAATAAATCAATTATTAGAAACGATAATAAAACTATTATTTTTAGAAATGTGCTAAAGAAATCCGCTCTCCTTTAAACAGAAATTGGGGGGGTGGGGGGGGGGGGGGGGTAAACAGGGGGGGGCTAATAATTCTGACTTCAACTGCAAGATGGTTCATTTTTCACCAAGATGAAGGTGATAGTAGGTGAAGTTTAGCTAAAAATTTTACTTAATTACAAAAATTCATCTACTAGTACTCACTCAGTATGACAATGAGTCAATTAACAGCACATTTTAACTCCTGTGTGAACTGTCCTGTTAAAGGAGTCATGAACTGAGAAACTACAATCCCCTTGATCTTTTGACCTATGGGAGTTCATAGTACTATAAAAACATCTTGTCAGTTTCAGATCTCAACACTTTGTATTTCCTCTTAAATCAGCTCATATTGAAGGCAGTCCACAAAAACGACAGGTTCTGGAATGTCTTACTATATGATGTAATAGGCTGGATAAGCTCCGCCTCCACATAAGATTGACACCTACTTCTACTTCACTGCTTGTTAAGCTCTGTTAATATGCAAGTTTGTCAGCCAATCAGAGCAGTGTGCGTTTACTTCTGAGTCTACAGTTGGCCACGCCCATCCAAACAGAGCATTCTAATTAAAAACAGCACAGAAAATAGCCAGATACTTATTAATGATGATTTTTTTTCATGTAAAAAACTTTTAAAAATCATAAACGCACCTTAGAGAGTTCTATTGTTAGTTCATGACCCCATTAATACTAAAGCAATAAAATCGGACCGAATATTAAAAAAAGGCAAAGCAGCAAGATTCGAAAGCCAAACTAATGGCTGGATTTACACACTAAAAGCACCATAGTGGTTTGTGATATTAGCGTAAACATACACTAAAGCCTGACCTACGTTTGACCACATAGCAGAAGTGGTTGAATTAGGGCGGCTGGTGTTCCTGCGATGTCCACGGAGGATAAACGAAGCGCAGTTTCCCCTGAGACGCCCAGCGGCTGTAAATCAGTTTCTCTGTGATGAAGCGATGGCCGCCTCTCTTGGCGTGTTCGTGAACGCGGTACATGCGGCACTCATCCAGATGCAGCGGCTCATAGTAGTGGTATGGCACAAATGAGTGGTTAGCATTACTGCAAAACAAGCCAAAGCAGAGATGTTAGCTGACTGCATCATGACAAATACCATTATACACAAGAGACCAGCAAAAAAAGCATGAATGATCAGATATCCTGTTGACTCAATTTTAAGTCAATGCTGGATTGGAATTTTGGGACAAAACATACATAAGTAATTATAATATTTTATTTATTGTTAGTTCTAACACACTTGTAAACAATCGCTCCATCGGGCTCGCGCGACACTTAGTCCCGCCCACACTTTTCAGCAATACCAAGCCAACCAATCACAGAGCTTGTGCTACGCGTTGTTGCGACGTGTAGTTAAATTTTTTTAGAGGTACGTGTCAGCGACGCCGACGGCCACGGCGAGGGCTATGCGTCCACGTGTAGGCCACGCTGTAGCATACACGTGCACTTGACGCAGAAGTATAAATCATTCTTCAGTGTTATTGGACCTCAGTGCTGCATTTGATACATTCAATCAGAATGTTCTCTTCATGACAGGCTCGAAAATGATGTTGGCATTACTGGAACTGCATTGGCCTGGTTCAGGACTTATCTATCTGAATATTATACATTTATCAGTTAATGAAGACCATCATACCGATCAAAAGTACACTGTGAAGTAGCAGTTCAGTTCTTGGGCCCCTACACAATTTTATATCTCCTCTCAACCTCACGAAATTAACAGATTAACAGTTAAATTCACTAAAACTTCTATGTTCAGCTGCTTTGACACAACCTACATTGTAAAAGCCCTAAAGAAATAAAGATGAATTGAAATTGGAATGTAGAAAGCAATTTTCACAAAAATAATAAAAAAAACATTTATAATTTTGTAATTATTAATAAAAGATAACTAATTGTGTCAGCGCAATAGCCTAGTGGTTAGCGCGTCAACATATGGTGCAGTAGCACATCAGGGCGTCCCGAGACCCTGGCTCGAGGACATTTCCCTGCCCTACCCCCTCTCTCTCTGCAACTTTGCTTCCTGTCTAAATACTGTCCTATCTAATAAAAAAAGGCGAAAAATAAATCGTAAAAAAAAAAGATAACTAATTGCGTGAATGACAAATTTATATTTTATATATAATAATAATTTAATTAGCTGTTTATTATAATACAATATTTAATACCTTATGTAATATATATATATATATATATATATATATATATATATATATATATGCCTTCTCTGTGTTCTTAACAGTGAAGTTCATGAAAACAAAACAAAAACTAATAACTGAACTCACCTGCAATAGGAGCCATCAATCATTCCATAAACCAGAATACTGTCACACACCTCCAGAGCCAAAATCATGGTAAAAAATCCTGTACTCAGAAACGCTCCTGATTTCATCCTGACAGACAGAACATATATTTATATAGTATTTATTTAATTCCATGTCAGCAGCAACAACAGCTATATACAATTTAAAAACACAAACAAAAGAATCCATAAATTAGATCAGATTTTTAACGTTCATATATGATAAAACTTCCACAATTTGTGCTGGTGACACACTCAAAGTCTCTTTGAGTGAGTTCATTTCCTAAAAAAAGCCCTCTGCAGT